AGCAGAAACAGCAACAGCGTGGGCACAAGCGATGGCTACGCGCCTACCTCACACTTCAAGCACGCATGGAGCGCAAGGCTGGGAAGCCGCCGCCCCCGCTACGCTTTAGTGTACGGTGCTTTTTTCAGGAATATTTTGCGGTTTTTTTCATGGATTTTCTGTTTGCACAGTCAGTCATTTTAAGATATTTTTCTTGTTCGTGTTTTTTTTTGTTTGTTGTGGCTACACCCGATTCAAGAGCTGAATGGCTCACAGGGCTATACCAAAATAAACTAAAACTGAAAGTGGATCCTGATAAAAGCCCCAGCAGGGTCAACCTCCCTTTACTCCATCATGTTATTTGAGCTGAGGGCTCCCCTCCCCCTAGGACCTCACAGAAATGCTCAGCTAACCTACAAACCTGTTGCTGGGGGTCGGAGATCAGATCACCATTCTTTCCCTCGAGGACGGTAATAGGTGTGACGCTGGAACACGTAGAGCACACACCCACTCGTGCTTCTACTGAGGAGCAAAAACCACCACACCTCTACCACGCTCCAGCAGAGCACGCGGTGGCTTCCTTGCCAAAGTGAAAGTGGCTTTTACCAAATTACTGCCTAGTCAGGCCACTGCCGAGTGAAATCACTGCCTAGTCAAGCCACTGCTTCGTCATTACTCAGTTCAATACAGAAGAAACTATATTAGGAACCAGGTAAAACAAACTGGGCTCTGAGCTCTTTCTCAGAAGCGACCTGGCCACGTATGATAGCTCATTGCATTGGCCTAGCATGTGTGTAAACGAAACAAGGCGTTCCCCTGTCTCGCAGGACACAGCGGGTGGGCGAGCAAGCTCCACCTTCTCCTTCTTGGACTTGGTGATGAGCTCCTCGATGAGCTCCTTGCGGGAGCGGTGTGGCACCTCGGCAGCCGCCCCGCCCCCACCGTCCTCGCCCTCCCCCACTGGAGCAGCAGCTGCAGCAGCCTTCTTCCTCCGCAGCAGGCCCCCTCCGCCGCCAAAGTGCGCCTCCGTGAACTCCGCTGTGCAGCCACAACGACGCCAACACAGCCACGTCGACACATGGTAACAACACAGGCACCAACATAGGCAGGTGTGTGTTGAGGAGTGTCTTAAGGTGTGCGTTGAGGGGTGCGTTGAGGGGTGCGTTGAGGGGTGCGTTGAGGGGTGTGTGATAATTGAGTGTGGTGCCGTGCCGGACCTGACAGGAGTCCGCGGTCGCCCGTATCGCTGTCGCTGTCGGGGGCGTCCCCGAGCGCCTGGGCGTCCGCCAGAGACTGCCCGTAGTGCGTGAGCTGCTCCTCATCATCCGCCTCGTGCAGCGCAAACACGTTCTCTCGTGTGTGCTGGCGCTGTGGAGGTAACGCACGGCTCACACACTCACGTCTCACACCTCACTAACACCCGGTCGGCACGCTGACAGATGGCTCGTTCACAGCTTTGGGCTTCCCCACGGCACAGGTCTCGCACATCTACGACACAGTGGCTGTGCCCAGGCTGTGTGTGCCCACGCTGAAACACACACACACTCGACACACTCACTACAGACACAGAAGACATACACACAGAAACATACACTAGACACAAATACTAAGCACATGCACTAGACACACACAGACACTAGACACACACACTATATACAAAAAAACAAAGATCCCCGTATAGCCTTAACGGACTGTTGGGGCAAGTGCTGTTAGCGAGCACCTATGAAGGCCAGAACGGTACACGAGGGGGTGGGTGGCCAGCACCACGCCCGACCGCCTTTGTCTCCCCAGTGGCGATGTTTACACACTGCACTTGGTACCAGTTCAAATAATCGTCACGGATGTTGCCCATGAGCGGGAATCGAAACTCGGATCACCAGGTTCATAGTGCAGCGCGCTAACCGCTACACCACCGCTCCCCACACGCACACAAACACACACCGGGCAGTGTGTGCGTCACACCTGCCGCTCCTTGGCGAAGCGCTGCAACATCTTGTCCTCGAGGCTGATGGACGGGTCATTCTCTCCGATGCGCCGGTCCACGAACACGTTGCTCTTGTTCTTCTGCTTGTGCTCCTGCAGCAGGGTCCCCATGCGCTGCACGAGAGGGGCAATGTGACAACTCCGCGAGCACTTCCCTACCCACGCTAGCCTCCCGGCGCCCAAACACGCCGGCACGAACCGTCGTTTAAGATTTAAGCAAACGCGACACTCCTCTCGTTCGTGGTCTTATTATCCGCAACTCTGTATAATCTCACTTGAGTGACTTGAGGGTAATGTTTCAGTATTGGGATGTTGGTTAAATTAGCCACGGGAGGAAACCAGAGAACCGGGAGCAAACAAAGAGGGCGATTGAATCGTGAATTGAACTCGGGCCCCTCTTGCTGTGAGGCGCCAGTGTTACCACCGTGCCAACCCGCCGCCCCTGTGAGAGATGGAGCCGCTGCCCCTGGAGAGATGGGGCCGCTGCCCCTGTGAGAGATGGGGGTGCCGCCCCTGTGAGAGATGGGGCCGCTGCCCCTGGAGAGATGGGGCCGCTGCCCCTGTGAGAGATGGGGCCACTGCCCCTGTGAGAGATGGGGCCGCTGCCCCTGTGAGAGATGGAGCCGCTGCCCCTGGAGAGATGGGGCCGCTGCCCCTGGAGAGATGGGGCCGCTGCCCCTGTGAGAGATGGACCCTCCTATTTCCAAGCAATGATAGCGGCGAGAACAGCCACTCTCTCCGTGTTCCACACATGCCTTACCTTCTTTATGGATTTGGAGCGGGACACGCCGGGGAGGCCGCGGTCGTGCTTCGGCTTGCGCCCAATGACGGAGAACTTCTGCCGGTTGATCTTCACCTCGAACGGGTTGGTTCGCACGTCGACGGTCTTCTTCGTGCGCCGGACCTTGTCTGCCAAGTTCCGCTTGGGCTTGGCTTTCCCCATGGCGCCGGCTCAGTGCTGCAGACACCACCCTCGATTAGCACGGCTGGCTCCATACGGTGCAAAATAAGTTCAACATACGTACAGTGGAAGGTGAGTGATGTACATCTCCTACCTAACTCACTCACACTCCCCCTCTACCTCACTCGCACTCCACCTCTCACTCACTCGCACTCCACCTCTCCTCACTGCAACTCCACCTCTCCTCACTCGCACTCCACCTCTCACTCACTCGCAATCCACCTCTCCTCACTCGCACTCCACCTCTCCTCACTCGCACTCCACCTCTCCTCACTCGCACTCCACCTCTCCTCACTGCAACTCCACCTCTCCTCACTCGCACTCCACCTCTCCTCACTGTTTTGAGTATGAATCTGTGAAACGCCTCACCGAGTAGCGTGGAGTCTGTGTGCCTCCCGGGTAGAGTGCGAGTGGAACCAAGTAGAGTGCGAGTCTCTGCGCGGAGTGGCCTCTCTGTGCGGAGGTTCCCGAGTCGAGTGTGAGTCTATGGTCGGAGTGCGCGTCTTACCGACTAGAGCGGAGCCTCGGGGTAGAGTCTCTCCGAGTCGTGTCTCTGTGTGTAGAGCTTTGGAGTCTTACCGACTCGAGTGGGGTGTCTGTGTGGAGTCGCGATGAGTGGAGAGGAACTCTTCGTGGAGTAAAATCGCCGCTGGCTACTCCCTCCGCTCTCCAATCCGCACGTGCGCACCGCTAGCGAGCCGCCATGACGGTGCACGAGAGGTCAGGGGTCGGGGGTCATTAGAGGGAGGGGCGGCGCTCGCGGGGGACAGATCTCGCGAAAAGGGAGATCTCGCGGGAAGGGGGGATGAGATCTCGCGTAGAGTGAAAATCTCGCGAGATTGCGAGGAGAGGCGTGAGAATCCGCGAGAAAAGAGGCGTGAGATCTCGCGAGAAGAGAGGGGTGAGATCTCGCGGCGCACAGTGGTTGTTGCCAGGAGACGGCGCGGTGAGGGAGCAGCAGGAGGCGCCCGCGTTGTTTACGCGCGGGTTTGTTGATCTGTTGACGTGTTGTTGACGGCTTTACCTTGACGCGTGTTTGTTTGCGCATTCACGTGCCGCGTGTGTGACCGCGTTTCGCAGCGGAGTTGACGGACTCGGCCGTGTCGCGCAGGCATCGTGAGCGGTGTTGGGGGGCGAGGGGAGATCCCAGCGTGGAGCGGGAGACGTCCCCCGTGTGGGGGGCCGGGGTGGCTGTTGGGGCTGCGTAGTCGGGAGGGGAGATCCCAGCGTGGAGCGGGAGACGTCCCCCGTGTGGGGGGCCGGGGTGGCTGTTGGGGCTGCGTAGTCCGGAGGGGAGATCCCAGCGTGGAGCGGGAGAAGTCCCCCGTGTGGGGGGCCGGGGTGGCTGTTGGGGCTGCGTAGTCGGGAGGGGAGATCCCAGCGTGGAGCGGGAGACGTCCCCCGTGTGGGGGGCCGGGTGGCTGTTGGGGCTGCGTAGTCGGCGCTGCTTCATTCAGTGGCACGCGTGGCCAAACCTCGCCTGGCGAGATGCAGATAATGCCGCGAACTCTGCAACGAAAACCCCACAGTTGGAGCAGGGAAATCCGCGGGAGCGCAGCCAGACACCATCACTCCCAGGGCGCTCCCGCAGATTTCTGCATTCAGAACTCCGCAGCCAACTTATTGCCCACCCCACGTGCACGCGGGTGCTTCTTTTGTCAATTTCGCTGTGTCCCAGGTCTCCATTTGCTAGAGAAGCTCCGGGCTCAATGGTCACTCACCTGGTCACTCGTACCCGTGTGTGTGTGTAGCCAGTGGTCACTCACCTGGTCACTCGTACCCGTGTGTGTGTGTAGCCAGTGGTCACTCACCTGGTCACTCGTGCCCGTGTGTGTAGCCAGTGGTCACTCACCTGGTCACTCGTACCCGTGTGTGTGTGTAGCCAGTGGTCACTCACCTGGTCACTCGTACCCGTGTGTGTGTGCAGCCAGTGGTCACTCACCTGGTCACTCGTACCCGTGTGTGTGTGTAGCCAGTGGTCACTCACCTGGTCACTCGTACCCGTGTGTGTGTAGCCAGTGGTCACTCACCTGGTCACTCGTACCCGTGTGTGTGTGTAGCCAGTGGTCACTCACCTGGTCACTCCTACCCGTGTGTGTAGCCAGTGGTCACTCACCTGGTCACTCGTACCCGTGTGTGTGTGTAGCCAGTGGTCACTCACCTGGTCACTCGTACCCGTGTGTGTGTGTAGCCAGTGGTCGACCCGGGCCGGTACAGGCCACACCAGACTCGTGGGTTCCGGCACTCCTCAGAAGGGTTCCAATTCCTACGCCGCGATGTATGCCGCGGAGGGGTAACGGCAGCAGACGCGAGTTTGCAGGACGATTATAGGTTTCATAGAAGCATTTCTACACTTCCATTTCAAACGCTGCGTGTGTATCACAGAACCGCAACACCGTTGGTGGCAGTGCGTCAACAGGGCTGTTTTGCACCGGTGAAGGTGCACACGTCAGCGATATCCGGCCCAATGCCGAATTATTGTCCGTGCAAGTGATGTTCATCGAGGGAGTGAAGCGATATGTGAGGAAAGTTGCAGTGAGATTGGCGAGCCGTGGTGAGGGTAGAGACTCAGACGAGAGATGAAACGGGAGATGCATCAGATGAGACGTGAGGGGGCAGCAGTGGATGATTGCGCGGCGCGGATAATCTTGCGACTGAGGCTCGATTGTCGGCCAACATCAATCGCGAGCTAAATCTGAACCGCTTTTTCCCAACCCCTTCCACTGACCACCATGGTGAAGTATGGTCAAAACTATCTCTATGACCGAATCCTTTTTTATCAATGTCCAGTACTGTACTGACAACAGCTGTATGCCCCAAACGGTATAAGGGATAACTTGACAGATTAGTCAATAATATTGGCCTCCAAAATGAAAAATATATAACACGCGAAGTTGGGACAATGGCTCTTCTTGACAGCAACATAAACAAGGGACATCGCCTATAACGGCGCTTGTTACATTTGTTTCTCTTTAAGGCTACAACGTTACTAACGGACGTGTTGAGTTGTTTTTATTGTTGTTATTTGTGCCTGGGCACCACTGGCAATGCAGCAGTAGTATCACCAAAGACTGCTGCTGCGGGGTTATTATTATATATGGGAGACGTGGACGCGGGAGGCCGTGGTGACGCAGCCGCGTGTAGAGCCGGGGAGTGGGAAGACACCGCGCGAGTGTGGCGCGAATCTTCACCCTCGCGGACCGCTACCCCCGCAGACCCGGGGCCTCCTAGGGAGCCCTCTGGCTCGGAATCCCCACTGGATTCTACTGGGAACCCACGCCCGCACGGTACAAACAACAACAACCGGAACGTTGGGCGTCGGGGTGTTTTGTCGCAGTGCGCGCGAGTCGCGGGGCGACTCGGCAGGCGCAGCGAACGGCAGCGGCGCGCGTCCCCGTGCGGTTCTACCGCGGGGAGCTCGCAGTGACGTTCAAAAAGGCCGCGCTTGAGTCTTGAAGGAGTTGCCGCTCAGTGCGACACCAACAGAGCCGCTGCCGCGTGGTCCCCCCCCGCCCCCGTGACAGCGATCGCCGCTGCTGCCGGACCTGCTGCTGCCGGACCTGCTGCGCTTGCGACGAAGTGACGAGAAATTAGCCTCGCAGCGAGGGCGAGCAGCAAGCCGAGTTCGCTTGAAATCCGAGTTTGCCGCACGCGCGCTGCGCTAGGAAAAGGCTTTGAGAGAGAACGCGATGCCCGACAACGGCTGTGTTGTGGGGCGGCAGGCGAGGGGACTCCTCCTCCTGCGCGTGTCTCCTGCATCAATCACCAGCCCCGCGGGCTCCCGAGTAAGAGGGCAGGGGGGTGTCATTGTATGTATAATGTTGAGCTTTCGCACCGTACGTAGCCAACGGTGCGAATCGGAGGTGCGGGTCGTGCCCATGGTGGTATAGATGACTTATTGAGATGGTGTTTAAAACAATGGCTATGTGGCGCTTTGTGTATCCCAGGAGCAATGGGAAACTACGGGGAGCTGATTGGGGAGGTGGTCGCCCTGCTGGATAAGATCACAGCAGGGGAAGAGAACCTCATGCAGATCACAGACGACATAATCCAGTCGCGCCAGGTACGTGCAGCACAGTGGCGGATCCCATTGCCGCCCCGACAGCGTGTATTTATACTTGCAAGAGAAAACACATTGATTGTGTTTTTGTTATACAAATGTAGGGACCTATTTAAAAACCTTGGGAAGTTTGTACATGCTCTGTAGGTGCAGTCATGTTTGAGCAAGGTGATGTTTTAATAAAACACAGAACCTGTTTGTACGGCCAGCTGCTTGGGGAGGCCTTCGCCCAGCAGCAGACTCAATTTTAATGAATTTGTATGTTTTATCTCTCCATAAACCACAAAATTGGAAAATTCTAACACCGCCAATATTTTCCGACGTGCTGTGCTGCGGAGGGCTGGAGTGAAGAGAATTTGGTATTCCTCCTGGGGGTGCTGGGAGGCTGCGTGGAACAGAGGCGACTGCTCGCGGTCGTGGTCAACGCCTTCTACGCTCGCCACGGCAAGCACGTTCTGCTCAAGCAGCGAAACGTCTTTACAGGTGCGTCTCACAGGTGCCCTGCACATTCCACTAAACAATTATCCTGCTACCACCACGTTAAAGCCACTCAAAATAGCACTTTGTAAAAGTTATTTAAATCTCTTCACTGCTCATATAACAATGACCCTTTTGCTTGCATCATTCACCATCGTTATATCACTTTTTGTTACGACTACCTTTCATTACTGTAATTATCGCCGTATTCAATAACCTTGCAATCCTCTCACGATGAGGCCCTTGCCGTCACTATGGCTTAATGGTGTGTGCAGCTGTAATGCACACCCCATACCTGTGTTTCCATTGTAGAAACATCTTACACTTTGTAGTCATTCATCTTTCAATTCCTTTCTTCAGCTGCCATTTCACCTCCAGGTTCCCTTTTTTCCATCCAATGACACAGGACATGAACGTCAATTTCAGAACCTCTTGTGGGAGTAATTGATAAGGATAAGGATTTGTGTTTGTTAAGCATTTATAGTGAAATGGTATCTCAGAGCACAACGCGGGAAAAGTTAAGGTGAGCTCTGCTGGGCTCGATCACTAAGCCAGAGGGGATAGAGAGAGGAAGCTTAGAGGTGTAGACAGAGTAGTGGGAGAGGAGGGGGTGGGGGTGTGAAGATGGAGGATGCAGATAGAGAGAAGTAACAGAGAATCAAAGCAGGATCCGACGAAGCCTCATTTGGATAGCTGTTGTGGGACCAAGATCTTTGGGGTGGAGTTGGACCGCACGCGGGCCATTCTTGGACCAACACAGTCTGGTTTCAAGTGGTTCGTATAAACAAGGCGATACCCATTACTGAAGGCATAGGAGCCTTTTGTAGCTTAATTGTACCACTCACACGGGGGTGAGCGAGCCCGATTATTGTCCACATTCAGATCTGTCACGTGCCTACGTTTGATGTCCATTATTTAAATGAGTATTTATTGAAATTGCTATTTAAATATAGTGCTGTATCGGTGGTGTGGCTACGTGTTGAGATAAAATTTCCACCACTGTTACGTTCGCTCTCAGTCATCGCCTACCTGGCTGTGTTTCGTCTGGAAGAGCTGGGGATGACCAGTTTCACCAAGATAATCAACTCCCAAGACATACCCAGCATGCATAAGGTGACAATGCGTGCAGTTCACAATGTATTCTCCATATTGCCACAGCTGCTGTCATTTTTTCAATGTTTCAAATTATTTATTGATTGCCTATCTTTCTTTCATCTGACATATGAAAAGAAACTGACAAAACATTGTACCTCCTATGTTGAGTTTGGTATTTCAATCGATGGCATGAAGAGTTACTTGATGTAATCCAAGCACGTCACATGAAGTCATCTCCTCTGGACACCTTCCCCAGTTCCTTGTTCACACAGTGCACCACAGCACTCACAATCATGATCACCAATGTCATTAATGCTTATTTCACATTTTGGCGTTTCCAAAATTCCTACAAAACTGATCAAGTCACCCTGCTTCTCAAGAAACCTGGCCTCACTCCAGACATCCCGGGATGCTATCAACCCACAACCAATCTCTCCACCCTCTCCAAGCTTCTCGAATGCCCCACCCTCACCCAGCTGAGGACCCACATTACCTCCTTTCCAAACCTCTGCTCCTTCTAGTCTGCCTTCCGTCAGACCTACTGCTGTGACCAGCGGGGTCCTGCTGTTATGAGCGGGGGTAGCCACTCGACCAAACAAAAACAGGGAAGAAGTCAGTTTGGTAATAACCCTGCCTGGACAATGCTACAACGTGGTCCCTTTGCCCACAAGCTTCGTCTGCCGTTGCCTATGATGCTGCAGTGCTTGCTCAGCGTGAGTTTGTATGATTACTGAACTAATGAGACACGCGGGGACTGTTTTTCCTTGCAGTTTTTGACTTTCCTGTTTGACGAAGTCAACTTGAGCACCTGGATGAAGGATGAGTGGAGTCAGCTCTATGACATCACCTTCGTACAAAATAACCTGCTGGCGCCACTACTCAAGTACGTTTATGAACACTTGGGCCAAGCGCATGGTTTTTAGGGCCACAATTAAGCCATGCAATGACATAACGCCATTTAAAACTGCTCGTGCTGTTTTATATCAAAGCATTTTTACGTGGGATTGGCACCGCCTCCACTTGCACGTGCCTCTGTTTAGGCAGAGCAGTGGCAATGTCAACCGGCTCCACGTAACTAACAATGCCTCTACTGGTTTAGTTTCACGCTGCATGGAAATATTAATACATTAAATTATGTTAAGTTCATTCAGTGATGTCATTGTATTCTTTGCAAGACTCATAATGTGTGTGTGAACCCACCAGATGTACAGCGAGGTGTCTGGTGGTGATTCAGCAAGGTTTCCTAGCTGTCTCTCCATCTTCTTTAATGTGTCACTTCGCTTCAGGCACTTTAGTCCTCCACATGTAAACGATGTACAATAAAATCGACCGAACAACCCAAGACAGCCGATCCGAGATAAGAGTATCGAGGAATTATTGAGTCTTTGCTATTCCCTTACAGCATGTTAATCGCCCCTTTGGCAGACACAGCTGCATAAGGAATTTTCTTTGTCGCTTTCAGAAGCAGAGAGGAAGTGCTTTGGCTGACGGAGCAGTTGAGAAGCCAACTGGACGGCACAAGTCCCCCGCGGCCGAAGCCTAAGACCACGGAGCCGCAGGAGTTCTCGCTGACCAAGCCCAAGCCACGAACTCTGCCGCTGCCGGACCGCGTCCCCTCCCTCGGCAAACCCAACCCCGTACGTCTCCCCTCCCTCGCCGTGCCACCACCATTAATGTTACTCACTGGCGTGATCGGAAATACACCATGCTCCGTATCATTTAACTGCCCATTTAGAAATGTTTTTTATTTGGTTAAACACGATTCATCATTAAAAAATGTGTTATGTCACATGTAATATGGAGTCTGCTCTGGTGATGGATGCATGACCACAATTGTTTAATGCTGGCTATGATGATAGCCAGGCTTTTTCCATTCCACTGCTGGATAAAGAGGATTCCTGAGACGATGATGCGCTTGTCGAATGTAACTGCACGTCAACAAGCTTGGTGTTTGACGCCCGACCCCAGGCCGAGCTGTTGCAAGCTTGGCAGGGAGTGCTGTGGTTGTACAGTTGAGTGTTTGTGTGTGCAGGTGCCCAAGAGCACGTACCATCTCCCGAAAGAAATGGCAAAGCTTCAGGACGTCAGGCAGAGGAATCGGCGAAGAGCTGAGGTTCCCTAACTCTGGAACACAAACCACTCTTGCTTTAGCACAACTGCACATACTTGGCACATGAGTCATCTAAAGCCAAACACACACACCGTGCAACTGGTATTGGCCAAACATCTCAATGTTGAAATATGACCTACAAACTGATCAGTTGGGATTACACATGGCAGCAACATCGCCCCCTACTCACACAACTTGGCAGGACCCTCTGAACAAAAAAAAAGAGTCATACCGAAAATATAAAGATATACTTTGTGATAGCTTTGTGATAATGTAATTCGTGTCTAGTAAGTCATGAAAGCGAGCACCCAGAGTTACTTAGTAACAGTTAAATTGCAATGGTTCAGCAGCTGTAATCGTTTTAAAGTAAAAACTTAACATGATCACGTGGACACGGTACACCAGAACGACTTGTTAGAACAGGCACATTTCTAAATCTAAGAAAAAAAGCATGTCACCGCTCGTGCTGTTACAGAGAAATCTGATGGAAGCGAGCAAGATTCTGTTCCAGTGCGCAAACGCCGAGAAGGCGGATCAAACCAAGGTGAGGATGACACGGGAGGGGGTATGCCGAGGGTGTGTGGGAGTGACATGGAAAGGAACGGAGTGGGGAGTGTGTATGTGTGTTGAACTTCTTTCGCACTGTCGTAGCCAATCGTGCTAATGGAAGGTGCGGGAAGTAGAAAGGTACAGAGGAAGGAGTAGACCTCAAATTGAGGGAGAAATCTGACCGGTGTTTACCAATACTTACATATTTCACCGTGCGAGATTACACATACGTATTATTGGTTATTTTCACTCTCAAGGCCAGTGTATAGTTAGTTGATGCTATACACGTCCACATGCATAGTGACTGATTCCAGTGAATTTGATACAGAATTTAATATTTGTGAACCTTGAGCACTACGCTTTTTTGTTGTCGATGGGATGGGGTCTTGTGGACATTTGTACAACACTGTCGTATTATACAATTAGTTATGCCGATTCACATAACGCGCTGAAAGTAATGTTAGGCATTTTTTGCGAGCGTGCCTGCACACACTTGGTACTTGGCACGTTCTTGTGAAAGGCAGATTTTCAGTTTTTCCTGCTCAGCAGCAGTGGTAACGGTGGCCTGCAGCTTGCGCGCTTTAGCTCGGTACATTGTGCCGCCCGCTTCCCCAGCATTATTTTTTATTTACAAAATAAAAATGTCAAACGTGTCAATTCAGTAACCGTTACGCACATCAGCTGTGTGGCCGAACCATCCACCACCTCTCCCGTTCGATGTGCTCAGCGCGTCATGGCGGAGCTCGCTGCAGAGATGTCGAGGACGAGTGCAGAGAGGCCCCGGGCCAGGAGCATGCCAAAGACCGCGGTAAGCACCACCGCTCTATCCAAGGGCTCAACCAAAGCCAAGAGAGAGAGAGAAGCGTTCTCTGCCTCCATCTGTACATTTTTTGCACGGTTTGTGACCTCAGCGCTGCCAATCTGCCATCCTTAGTGAACTGCTCACGGAGGTGGTGGGGTTGCATGACAATACGTTCAACAAAACAAGTAAAGCATTTATACAAGGTGTTCTTTTGGTTTTTATACCCACAGAGCCTTTAATGCATAATATTAAAATTGAGATTACATTAGATAGATACAAATATTATGGCAGCAATGAGAGATATGACCATCTTCTGGATGATGAGTGAGGAGTCCCTCTGGATGCATGTACCATGGACAGAGAGTGATGGGTGGATATCGCAAGTTCCCGGACATGTACCATGGACAGAGAGTGATGGATGTATGTCGCAAGTTCCCGGACATTTACGGATGCTGTCCCACGTGATCGGAATGTTTTATTTTGACAATACAGTAAAAGTAATTAATAATCTTCCATTGGTCAATGCCAACAACCAGTTTATCTTAAACACACAATACAGGAAACATAATGAGAGCACATTTGCCAAGTGTAATTAATAAAATGTATTCCCTTTGGCAGGACTCTACTTGCTAACGTAGCATCGTGACAATGCGAAGCTGCATATAGTTTACAGAACTGTGATACGAGCCTTGTTTTTATTGTAGAAGAACAACGTTCCTATTAAGCTCAACACAACGGCCATACTGCGGGAGGGAGCTTTCTACCAGGCCCGAGAGACACAGGAGCTCAAAAGGTCGGTTGCCACGCACGCACAAAGACATGCGCACACACAACAACAACCACCACTAAGTGGTGGTGACGTCACCACGACGCTTGTGCCAGGCCATGTGCACCTTGAGGCCACGTGAAGTGTCGAACGCCCGCTGGCAGGAGGTCACGGGGCAGACCCAGGTGCCACGGGTCGACTGACTGAGATGACTGGCTGATGCACCACCTGTGCCCCCTACTGTGCCAACCTGTTGTGCTTTAGCCGCCCGGCGCTCCGCTCGTTGTGAGCGTCGCTCCTCCGCCCTCCGTTGTTGTTGGAGGGCGACTGCCTCCAACTGCCCAGTAGCATCCTTCACGAGCCTCCTCCACAGAGGCTGATCTTGACACCGCTGGTATCAGTCATCGGCAAGTCCACTCAGATCCACGTCCTCCTGTACCACATCACTTCATCTCTTCTCTAGCCCGTGCCGCGCCCGTTTAGCCCCCTCGATCCAGCCGAACAAAAGCTGTTTCGGCATGCGGTGGCTGGGCATGCGGGCTACATGACCCAGCCAACGCAGCCTTGCCTGCCGGAGGAGCTCACCGATGGGACCTTGCCCAGATCTTTCAAGGATTTGTGAGCTCCTCACACAATCCAGCTTGGTTAAACCCAGGATGGATCATAGGCAGGCTAGCCTAAATGTTTCTAACCGGCGAAGATGTTCCATTAGGGGGTCCACGTTTCGCAAGCGTAGAGAAGGGAGGGAATGACCGTGGCCGAGAAGACCTGAAGCTTAGTGCGGAGCGACAGACCAGGTAGCTTCCACACAGCGTTACTTAACTGATGAAAAGATAATGCCGCTCGACTGATTCATTGAGACCTCTGCTGTCAAATTGGAGCCGGTCAGCAGCACACTGCCCAGGTATGGGAAATTATCTTCTCTCTCCACAAGTGCCCCATCACCAATTGGGAGTTGTGGGGGTAGAGTGTCCGATGGCACAAAATACCTAGGCAGGTGCTTAATTTTGGTGGGGCTGATGGTAAGGCCCCACCTCTTAGTGGCAAGCTCCAGGTTCAGCAGCAGCGCCTCCAACTCCTCCTCTGAGTGAGCAGCAATTACCAGATCATCGGTACATGTAACATGGTTGGCCAATAGGGAGCCATTCCTTGACTGCACCTGGGCATCGATCAGCCTCCCATTGTATCTGTACCAGATGGAAATTCCTCCGGTACAGCCATCGAAGGCTTCACGAACTACGTGGTCGAAATAGATGTTGAATAATTCTTGCCAGGACCATTCCCGGGACACTGAGGAGTGAGATGCCCCTGTAGTTGTTACAGTCTGTGCAGTCCCCGTTCTTGAAGAGGGGGACCACCAGGGCATCCTTCAAATCCTGCGGAACCCATCCAGTGGTCCAGACTGTTGTTATGATGTTATGTAGGGCAGTCTGTGCACAAACGCCACCCTCCCTCAACATTTCGCTTGGGAGATCATCTTTGCCCAGTGCCTTTCCTGGTTTCAGACTCTGGATCACCTTCAGTACTTCATTAACAGATGGCACCTCAACCAGCCACTCACAGGGGGTGACTTGTTCCAATATTTGAGGCACCGCAGCCTCAGCAGGGTCATCCCCACTTTGTCCCACGATGTTTTCCTGGCTGAGGGATTTCCCCTCCCCCAGGACCTCACAGAAATGCTCAGCAAATCTGCAAACCTGTTCCTGGGGGTCGGAGATTGGATCACCGTTCTTTCCCCTAATTATGGTAATAGGTGTGACGCTGCAGGTTACTTTTTTGATGGTGTTAAAGAGCTATTTGTGATCACGGGCCATTGAGGCAGACTCCATCTTCTAAGCAAACCCGCCACCACCCATCCTTGCAGCGCTTCACGGCTCTCCAAACCTCCGAGTGAAGGCTGCGGTAAGCCTCCTCATTCTTTGACGTGGGATGCTGTGGATGATGAGAATGGGCCTGTCGCTTTTTCTCAGCCAGCCTGAACACCTCCTCTGTCAGCCAGGGTCTCTGGGGAGGTCTGGATCGTGTACCCAAAGCAGCCATTGCAGCTGCATGAACCACAGTCCTAAACCTCGCCCGGTTCCCCTCGACATCAGGAGGAGTGGGGAACGATGCCAACCCCAGCTGCAAGCGATCATGACATTCTCCCTTGCAACTTTCATCAGCTAGCTAAGACCAGGCCACTATGGGTTTGAATGGGGTCCTGGGTGTACACCCACCATCGGAGTGGAAGAATGGCAGGCACATCTTATAGATGACAAGTCGATGGTCAGTGGGCAGATTAGCCCCACGTTAGGTCCTGGTGTCAAGGACATGGGCCCGCATACGCTGTTCCGTCACTATGTAGTCCAGCAAATGTTCTTGCTTGGACCCGGCATGCATCCACGATGTTGTGTGGATGTGCCGATGCCGGAACAGCGTGTTGGTAATTACAAGCCCATGTGGGCTGCACAAAAATCTAGCAGCATCTACTGCTGTTATTGAGCTGATCTGGCCCATGCCTTCCAATCACTCCAGACCGGTTGCCAGCATCATGACCAACTCGGGCATTGAAGTCAACCAACACGATGACTCTATCAAGAGGGGCCACTTTAGCCAGCACCTGTGACAGGAGGTCATAGAAGGCATCTGACTCATCAGCCTTGCCTGCATCCCTCCATGGATGTTCGTCATTGGTGGGTGCATAAGTAACCACAAACCACCACTCCTCGCCTCTGGTTGATGGGAAGGTGAGCCCAAAGTAGCATGGGGCTTACAGCTTCACACACCTCGCCGCCACGCTCCCATGCCCCCTTCATTGTTTTGTTTAGAAGAAGAGCCACACCCTGTTGTTTGGCAGTCTCCTGCCCCAAGTAGAGGACTGTCCACCCCTCATGGTGGCAGGAGCCAGAGCCGGTCCACCAGACCTCCTGAATACTACAGAGATCCAGGTGGTACTGGTCCAGCTCTCGACAGAAGTGGCAGCCTCTCCTCCGCAGTGAGCGTTCAAACATTCCACGTGGCCACCCGCAGTGGTTTTTTGTTGTTTTTGGAGGAGTCCCTAGGGTAAGGATTCAATCTCCTGGCTCCGTCAGATGGGGTTTGGCACCTGAACACACACATGCGCAGACACTTTTACGCACACATATGCACTCGCGCATGCACTCCCAAACCCTAACTGTTGCTCATTAACGGTGCGCATGCGCATGGTTGGGACAGCTCTCGTTTAAAAGGATGTCCTCGCAGAGAAGAGCATTGCACCTTTGATGAAGCTACTCTGTGAAATATTGGTCCATTTTGTTTCTCTCTCTAATGTGGCCAGGCTAGAGGAGCTGGTTAGGGGTGCTCGGGACGGGAGCGAATTCGCTGATTGGCAGGAGCGCATGCGGCAGCGCGACGCGTCGGAGGCAGCGCTGGAGGAGGAGCGGCGTCGGCTGGAGGGGAAGCTGAGTCTGGAGGAGGCCGTGCTGGCACGGCATGCCCTCGCCAGCCAGAACCAGCACAAAGCCGCCACCGTCAAGCAGCAGGTGGCAGCAGCAGCAGAGCTGGGGCAGGGTTTGGGGCCCAGTTTACGTGTGGGAGGGAAGGCAGCTATTGCCAACATGTGTGAGAAATATAAACAAATTATGCTATTTTCCACCAATTTTGTTGTTTAAAAGATTCCAAAGAATATGGCACACCTTTTGTGACGAATGGATGGAGGTGCTTTGTCTATTTTTATATTGACTGGGACTTGATGGATATAGTCTTCAAGTCGGGAAAAATGTTTCTGTGTGTAATCCTAATTGAGTAATGTTGCAGTGTAATTTTTCAAATTTGGACCGTGATGCTGGCATACAATGGTCTTCTCATTCCAAATGGCGCCAGGGGATCTTTAACGTGCAATGTGAAGTAGACAGCGAGTAGTACTTTACGGTTAATACAAAACCGCAGTTATAACCAGGACGGCCTACCGGATTCAACCTCTGCAACAAGCGGCGACTGTGCTGCCGCTGGTCCACCGCCTGTGCGGTGTGCCGCAGTCTGTGTGCGCGTCTCGCTTAGCCTATGGTGTGTCTGTGGACGTTGCGACTGCCACGTGCTGCGTGTGCCACAGACAGCTGAGATGATGCAGCAGTACGCAGACCGGCGGCTTCAAGAAGAGAAGGAGATGAAGAAACTGATTAAGCAAATCATGGAGGGTCATGAGAATTCCAAAGCAGCTAAACTGAAACTTCAAGAATACAAACAGAAAATAGGTAAGAATCACCATATCACTGTTTTTACTTCCTAAAATCACTGTTGCTTCTGCTCGTTTGAAAAGTTGAATTACAAACACACTGTCAGTGTCCTACTCATATTTACAATTACTGTTTTACATCATTTACATTTGGGAGGAGTGGTGGCCTTGCGGTTAGCACTGCACTATTAAGCTGTCACAAAAGAGGGCCCCGCGACAGCCCTGTGGATGGTGGCCTCAGGGGCCCCCACGTGGCCTCCAGGGTTGATAAAATGAGTACCTCATTGTGAGTGATCGTCTTATGCAGAGCCCTGCCGCGGGAATGTGGAATTTACACCACGTGCTCAGGGCTAGCAACGATAACCACTGCGCCATTGCTCTATTGAGCAATGGGTGTGTATAAAGTAACATGTCACCAAGGTTTGATTCAACTGTAATGTTGCCGCATACTGCTCAGGTGTCAGGGACTCCAGGTTTGCAATTTCTGCACTTGCGAGTGCTGTGGAAGCTGCGGTGTGCTTTGTCAACACACTGCACTGATCAGGTTTGTGCATATGGTTTGCAGTGAATTGATGCTCAAGTGAGTTTGAATGAATGTTGTGATATGCAGTGAATTGGTTATTCTTCTCAACGCCCCTGATGTTTGTAGTGCAGTGGAGATGTGTGCTGTAATGTGGTTCATAGGTTTAACAACGAGCGAGCGCATTGCATGTACAATGCTCAGCCTTACCCAAACCACCAACTCCTGGCATACAGTGAGGGAAAAAAGTATTTGATCCCCTGCTGATTTTGTACGTTTGCCCACTGACAAAGAATTGATCATTCTATAATTTTAATGGTAGGTTTATTTGAATAGTGAGAGACAGAATAACAACAAGAAAATCCAGAAAAACGCATGTCAAAAATGTTATAAATTGATTTGCATTTTTACGAGGTAAATTAGTATTTGACCCCTCTGCAAAACATGACTTAGTACTTGGTGGCAAAACCCTTGTTGGCAATCACAGAGGTCAGACGTTTCTTGTAGTTGGCCACCAGGTTTGCACACATCTCAGGAGGGATTTTGTCCCACTCCTCTTTGTAGATCTTCTCCAAGTCATTAAGGTTTAGAGGTTGACGTTTGGCAACTCGAACCTTCAGCTCCCTCCACAGATTTTCTATGGGATTAAGGTCTGGAGACTGGTTAGGCCACTCCAGGACCTTAATGTGCTTCTTCTTCTTGAGCCACTCCTTTGTTGCCTTGGCCGTGTCTTTTGGGTCATTGTCATGCTGGAATACCCATCTACGACCCATTTTCAATGGTCTGGCTGAGGGAAGGAGGTTCTCACCCAAGATTTGACGGTACATGGCCCCGTCCATCGTCCCTTTGATGTGGAGACGTTGTCCTGTCCCCTTAGCAGAAAAACACCCCCAAAGCATAATGTTTCCACCTCCATGTTTGACGGTGGGGATGGTGTTCTTGGGGTCATAGGCAGCATTCCTCCTCCTCCAAACAGATGTTCATTGGCAAACTGCAGATGGGCATGTATATGTGCTTTCTTGAGCAGGGGAACCTTGCGGGCGCTGCAGGATTTCAGTCCTTCACGGCGTAGTGTGTTACCAATTGTTTTCTTGGTGACTATGGTCCCAGCTGCCTTGAGATCATTGACAAGATCCTCCCGTGTAGTTCTGGACTGATTCCTCAGCGTTCTGATGATCATTGCAACTCCACGAGGTGAGATCTTGCATGGAGCCCCAGGCCGAGGGAGATTGACGTTTTTTTGTGTTTCTTCCATTTGCGAATAATCGCACCAAGCTGCTTGGCAATAGTCTTGTAGCCCATTCCAGCCTTGTGTAGGTCTACAATCTTGTTCCTGACATCCTTGGATAGCTCTTTGGTCTTGATCATGGTGTAGAGTTTGGAATCTGATTGATTGCTTGTGGACAGGTGTCTTTTATACAGGTAACAAGCTGAGACTAGATGCACTCCCTTTAAGAGTGTGCTCCTAATCTCAGCTCGTTACCTGTATAAAAGACACCTGGTAGCCAGAAATCTTTCTGATTGAGAGGGGGTCAAATACTTATTCCCCTCATTAAAATGCAAATCAATTTATAACATTTTTGACATGCGTTTTTCTGGATTTTGTTGTTGTTATTCTGTCTCTCACTGTTCAAATAAACCTACCATTAAAATTATAGACTGATCATTTCTTTGTCAGTGGGCAAACGTACAAAATCAGCAGGGGATCAAATACTTTTTTCCCTCACTGTATATAGTATATGCAAGGAGTGGTTTCCAGCCTGCATGTTTGTTTCTTTTGTGGTGAGGTTTCTCATCATTTACAGATTGTAATTTCTGTAATGCATTCTCTATATTACACGACCATACACAGGATGTTAGTTGTTTTGCTGCCTTGTATGATTTAAGGAACATTGGCACTCATTCAGGGTTATTTTTTTACCTTTTATAAAAAAATATTTCCACATTTAATCCAACTGCAGAAAACTTAGTAAAGCCATCATTGTGGGTAAATACGTGAACTGGTGCAACTTTGCACGGATATAGAGTTTTTAGATATTTTTAAAGTTATAATTTCCCAGAAGCATTGCGATCAGAATGAGGGAATGGGGCTGTGGTGGAGAGAAAGATGGAGAGCACAAGGGGTGGAGCTAGGGGGAGGGTGTGGGGGTCAGGCTGGAGCTAGGGGAGGGTGTGGGGTTCAGGTTGGAGCGAGGGGGGGGGTGTGGGGGTCAAGTTGGAGCTAGGGGGAGGGTGTGGGGGTCAGGCTGGAGCTAGGGGGAGGGTGTGGGGGTCAGGCTGGAGCTAGGGGGAGGGTGTGGGGTTCAGGTTGGAGCGAGGGGGGGGGGTGTGGGGGTCAAGTTGGAGCTAGGGGGAGGGTGTGGGGGTCAGGCTGGAGCTAGGGGGAGGGTGTGGGGGTCAGGGTGGAGCTAGGGAGAGGATGTGGGGTTCAGGTTGGAGCGAGGGGGGGGGGGTGTGGGGGTCAGGCTGGAGCTAGGGGGAGGGTGTGGGGGTCAGGCTGGAGCTAGGGGGAGGGTGTGGAGCAGGGGAGGGTGTGGGAGTCAGGCTGGAGCTCGGGGGAGGGTGTGGGGGTCAGGCTGGAGCGAGGAGGTGGTGGACAGGGCTCGTGTCTTCACCACAGGTGTACAGTATTTAGATTTTCCCGTCACAATGTAAAATCCCATGCACTCGTGTGGTTGACTGCACGTGTGAGTAACTAAAGTGCAGCAGTTAGTCGAAATCTGCCATATTCGTGTCCATTATAAACTACTGGAGTAAGGCATGAAGCTGTTGTTTGTGTTTGCAGTGGAATGCGTGAGAATGTGTGTTGCAGGATTCAATTGCACTTCCTGCAAGTGGCTATTCTTGTGATGCGTTGTTGTTTAGCATCACGGCCGTGTGCGCTGTGGTCGGGAGCAAAGCGTTTTCCGTTGAGCCGTGTTGGTAGTGGATTGAGCCGTGTTGGTAGTGGATTGAGCCATGCGTGTGGTGGGGTGAGCAGTGCAGGAGGTGATGGAGGAGAGCCAAGAGCTGCTGAGGCAGGCACTGGAGCGTGCCCAGGAGGACATGTGCCGTCGGCAAGAGCTCATACAACAGATCCGCGCCCTGGAGGCCATGCCCGCCTTGCGCCATTCGCACATGGACCCCACACAGGTGATCGGCCAAGTTCAACACAGTCGCACGGACAACCGCCTTTGCTACACATAACCAACCGTAGCTCAGTCTTAGTCAAGGCTCATCTCGGGTCTGGCCCTGGCTCAAGTGAGCCATGGCTCAGAGCCACCCGCTTAACTTGAGCCGGCTGTGAGTACGGTCCCAATCACGCCCAGGATTCCTGAGAGCCGCGCCTCAGCCAGGCCACGGCCGTGCCGCTCGGACGTCGCTGGAGGCTTGTGAACTGAGCCAGAGTGTTACGAGACTGGGCCAGAGCCAAGCCGTGACCATCAACAGTCCCGAGAGACGATAGCCGAACCTATGCTAGTTACTGTGGTTGTCCGATTTTCCTGGTCTCGACTCCCGTTTCTTTGCTCTCCGTGACCATCGCAGACGGCTGGGCATGCGCTGCTGAGCGAGATGTCGCTGGTGGAGCTGAGAGAGCGGCTGGCGCTACTTAAGGAGGCCCAGCTCAAGGCCAAGGAGGAACGGCGTGACGACATCCTCAGGGAGAAACAGGCCAAGGAGCAGCTACTGCTGCAGCACCTGGACAAGATCTCCCTGCACCGCGCATCCAACAGCAAGGCAGCCGCTCTCCGGTGAGAAGAAACACGGCGGACGTTTGGCGTCCATGTAGTTGGCGAGCACAGGTCCAATGCCCAGCGTGTCATGGCCACCAAAAACAGCATGATCCGAGCTGTAGTAGCTATATTATGTAATAGCTATGATGTGACACGCTTATTGAATTGAGTAAGGTTATTAGAAGGGCTTAAAAAAAGGAATTCCAAAGTGGAGCGGTGTGAGGGAAGAAGCAAAAGGAGAAATGTTGTGACCTGCAGTGTTTATTGGACAAAATGGTGTTGTACACAAATGTATTTTCTGTAAAGTTTATATCAGTAGAACTTTCCCCACATACACGTTTTGTTTGATTGTCGAATCAGGCCCAAGGTTTGGAAAGCTAAAACAATAAATATTAGTCTAATATAGTATAAAAAACAATATCTGATTATTTTTTGTACAAGTGACTATAGGGGGAGGTTGAAGGTGGAAATGAGAGGACAAGTAGCAGAGGCACAGTTGCATATGACTGATCTCTTCTACTTCACTGATAAAGATGGGAACACATCCATGGACTAATTGATGTCGTGTTCATAAGAGAGATTAGTGGTGTGGATGAGGGGAGGGGGTTTACGTCACCAACACTTTCAGCCAGGAGTGTGACGGTGCCGAGTTTCGGATTGTATTTCGAACGTCGCGGCGCGAATGCGCATTAAGTCCGCTGCGTGGCTCTGGGTGCAGCCTGGAGGAGAAGCGAGCCAGGCAGCAGGCGCCCGCGGCCTCCCCTCCGGACGCCCTGGGCGACCCCAAGCTGAGTGACCTCCTTCAGCGTCTGGAGGACCGTCGCGCAGAGAGGAAGAGGGTGACGCAGAGTGGCCGGGAAGGGCCAGGAGTGCCCGCCGCGGTGCCGGCAAGCAAGGTGACCCTCACGGCTGCACGCGGCGCCACCCGTGTGCAGCCGCCTTGCTCCACGGGATGAGCAGCATCGCAGCATCACAGCATCACAGCGTGCGAACGCGCAATTCGAGACAAGGGGAGGGTTGCTCAGCAGAAGGAACTCTCTCCAGCGGTTGGGGGAATTTTTTCCAGTGTGGGGGTCTATGCACCCCCATCACCTCCCCTGGCCTGTTTGTAGAATGTTATTGGCTCAAACTATTCTCGTGAATTAACATTAAACAATTTCAAGCCAGACAAGTTCATACAGACTATGTAAGCAAAGAGATTACACATACTAAATGTATTGTCTGTTTAATCGCGTTAAGATGAAGCGAGTGTAATATGTGCAAACCACGACACGTATATGCAGCGGGAAAAATGGAACCGTAGAAGTCCCGGTACAAAACTTATATCGTCCTGCAGACTACGTTCACTGTTGTTGCCCCTAAAAATGCAAATGTTGACCAAGGGCAAAACGTTCTGAAAGTGGTGGTCTACGTGTATAGTGCTCTAAGAAGTAGGGGGCATGGCTATATACCGGCCCAATTCCACTGCTGCGCATGTACCCACAGAAGTCGCAGGAGCACTGGCAGGAGCTGGAGAGGAGCAGGGAGCGTCAGGCCCAGCTCCTGACGCAGGGGGCGGCCGACAAACAGGTCGACCACAAGCACGGCGTGTACCAGGCAGCCCGGGTGGGCGCAAACGCTGCCTGCATCACCCGCACTCAAGAGAAGATCAGCACCGTGTGAGTGGCCACCAGTGTGTGGTGCGCGTTGCTAAAACACAAATGGCGTTCTCAAGGGAAAACAAATCTATGAGTGTCCTCAATCGGGAAAGCCTTGGTGAGTCTCAAGACATTCTGGTGGGCCCTGCATTAGCATGTTTCGCCAGTTCCTTCATGTTTTTCACGTGGAAAGAAATTGGGTTATCTGCAGAAGGTCCACGTAGCCAAGAGGATAACGCAGCAGAAAACTACACAGGTCAGAAAATTATTTGCTGTACCGTCATCTACTTTCCACCTCATAGGCATGCAGGTTGCATGTGCGATCCACCAATGAATTGCAGGTGTGTCGCTGCTCGAGAATAGCTGCTCAAAGTGTTTGTGACAGTGGCTATGAAACAAAACTGTCTTCAAGACAGGTGTCAATAAGTTGCCATAAGTAGCATGGAATCCAATTGTCATGCAGGATTTCAGTGTGTTCTTTTGCCTCATTTCAGCTTCTGTTGTCTAATAAAACAAAGCTGGTATCCCAAATACCTATGCAATAATCATAACAGCGACCACCGGACATGCTTATGAATGTGTTCACATATTGCAACAGATCTACTTGTGTAACTCTAGTATATTACGTTTCCTAAATCTCTATATGCGGTTTACATGGTTGTCATTACTGTGAATGTGATTATTACCGTGTTGTTCAATAAAAAAACATCTGTTAATACATGCTTATGGTTCCCTCTGTTGGGTATTCATGCTGTTGATCAGGGAAGCAGCATTCAAATGCCTCGCGGTTCAACCAGATGGACGTTGCCGCTGCATTGAATTGACTAGCACAGCAATGCACAGGGCATTAAAAGCGAGGCAAATTTTGGAAAGCAAATTGAAAAAATGTTGAGGAAGAGAACTATAGAGAGAGATGCAAAACTGAGGATTGAATACACACAACTCTGAAAAACGATCAGAAAACGATGAGAAATTGGAGTACAAAAGACGAGTGAAGCTGCTAGAGCGAGCAACAAGAGCGCGCAGGCAACAAGAGGGAGGTGGAAAGTGACAATTTACACAATCCCCTAAAAGAAAATGCAACAACATAACTCGTGTAAAATGATATAGTACCGGGTTACATCTCCCTCTGATCAACGTACGGAGTACTACAAGCACATGGCTTCATTTCCACCACTGCCCACTCATTTCTGTGCAACATTACCAAAACACGCAGCCTGCTGCTGTTGCGCGCACGTTAAAGAGCCTGGGACATCGTTCTTAATGTGGCCACCGTTGGCCACAGAAACGTCCACATCAAGTACCCTGAAGTTACACGCATATACATGTATAAAATAAGCATTAAGAAAGTACGAGTTTAAACAGCCCCCTTGCAAGGGGACCACAATGGCACTAAGCTGGTTACAGTGGCAATGATTGATATCAGAAGCTGAGTAAAACATTTGCTCACTTTAGTAACTTGATAATCCTGATACATTACAAATATGGGACCAGGGCTTTGTATAAACAGAAGAACACATCAATGAGCTAAGGTGTCAGAAACCATGTGCAGACAGCCCAGAGTTAGTTGTGCTGCACCGTTTCTAGAAGCACAACAGCCACGTCCAGGACACGCACTTGCTTGGTAAAATGAATCCGACGGCAAGGCTGCCACAGCTACAATCCTCGTTTCCCAACCTCCATTGAGTTCCTATCGGTATAATGATGACATCAAGATGAGTGTGAGTGCAGAGAACATCAGAGACACCAGTGACACACGTTGATAGGATCAATCCACGTAAGAACATGGACCACTTTTTTTAATCAACGGTAACGGGTGGTTTCATGACAATTCTCACAATTTATTAATTAAATATTATAAGTATTTAACAAACAGTCAATGTCTGGAGGCAGCACGCATGCGCCTTTGACTTTGGAGATTGTAAAAACTGCACACATGAAAGAGCTGTAAATCCAGCCGTGCGCTGCATGGTAGCGCTGACACCATGCCACCTATCCAGTTGGAAGGCAGCCAAAAATAAACAATTCATGAGTCAACTATTCACGACGGACATCCTGGTAATGTTTATTACCCCAACCATAACAGCTGTCTTCCACATGATGTTCCTTCGAGGCTGAGGCATAAAAATTAATTCTCGAGTTTGTCAATTGGACTGGAGGCAGGCGACTCCTTGTGCAGCAGACATGATGAACACCGCGCTTCCTCTGTTACCGGTGTTTTAACAACCATGCGACAATGTTTTGCAAAGAACACTGTAAAAAAAAAACAACGCTTAGGATCTATTAATACTAACAAAAAAGAATGTTTCTACAATAAAGAAAATAATACCTATAATAAGCATGACGATTTGAGGATGTACTGTTTAAGAGTGAACAATGTATAAAATGGATATATTACAGAAATTCTGCTGCTAATACGTTTCACACAGCAAGTGGCTTAAATGCGGAGTGATCGCCCCAGAGCCACACATCAATGTTATCAGAACCGGTTGTGACATTACACGAACAAGCAGTGTAACAAACAGCTGCTACCTTCATTAGAAATTGGTACTGAAGGGGTTAGAGCTTCAGTTTGGAATTCCACAACAATGAAAAAAATTACATCAATAACGATTATAGTAGGCCACCGCATCCATCACTCAACACATCCCCCGGGCTTTTTACAGTTACATACAATAACGTAGATGTTTATAAAAAAAAACAGTGCCACCCCGCTGGACAGTTCCTTTGTGGAGCGCTCTGCCCGAACGAGCGAGCACAGGCCGTGGGGGGCGCTGCCGCCACTGCTGCTTCTGTCGCCGCCGCTGCCACCGCTGCTGCTGCCGCTACGACGGCAAGGAGCTCGGCGGCGGCGGCGGCTGCGGCTCACTGGGGCATGTAATGCCGCACGTTGTACTTGGCCGCGTCCTGGAACTGCGTCATGGGCTTGTCGGCGATTCCACAGGTGCCCACACCCACACGGCCGTTCACACTCTCCGGGGAAGCGAATATGCTTTTCTTCACCTGCAAACACCGCAAGGGAAGCACGGGGCCGAGCACATGGCACAAGCGTGTCAATCGCTATTCATAACCGATTGCTGGGTTCGGCCATTGCATGATCTGGCTGGGTTTTCTCGCAGAATGTTCTCACTTCCTGGTTTCAGGGCCGAGGATGCTTCATGCAGTTGCAAGTGAAACGTCTTATCTGCTAAATTTAATTGTGAGAATTGTTCATCTTATCGGTGAGCTGAAACAATAATAACTGGCACGTTAAACATCTGTACGCAACAATTTAATTTGTTTGGATGTCGGTTGGTATAGGGCTTTAACACAAAATTGGCCAATTAATTAAGTGGCCTCATCCAAAAATCAATGATGAATAATCTCATTCACTACTCAAGACTGCCCATTCAACTTTTGTTCTCACAATCGGGTATAGAGTGTGATCTATTTTATCTTTCCTGTTTTATATCAATATATTATTTGATTATGTTTGAAGTAGAAAACGAAACAAAACTCCGGCGATGTGTGCCAAATCCTGACACAAAAACGAATGAATTTCATTAATCGCTTTCCTGTTCATACAAAAATACATTTGGCCGAGAAGGTGAATAGTAAAGTTTACGAAGGGAAGAGTCTGGCATTGAGTAGCACGCGAGCACGTAGTGACGTCTAAATGAAAGGGCGTTTAGTTCACTCTTAATTGTGGCAATGTGGGGTAAGGCAACTGCGTGCGCCTCTTTCCACCGTGGCTACTTCTGTAAAATTTAGATGTTTCCCCACTGCACTGCTACATGCAGATAACAGTACAAACGCAATCACGATCAAAATAACCCCTTCAAATCTAGCAGAAAAATAACTGTCAACTAATGAATGAAGTATATGTGAATTATGATTCCAGTTAAAGAGTGCTTGTGATAACAGCACTCACATGGCCTTTCTTTGTTTTGCAGTAGGCTTTGTTGTTGAAGTCTTGCCATTTGCTCTTCTGCGATTCCCTCTCTGTCTCCATGTCCTTCATCCTTTGCGCTTTTTTGAGGGCTTTCTTCTTCTTGTACTCTCTCTGTTGAGCCAGCAGCTCTTTTCTGCAACGGACACAGCGCACAGCCAGCACAGCACTCAGCACCCAACCAGTCCACTCTTGCAGCAGCACATTCAGCAAGCAGCGAGCATGTTTTTGGTAGTGAGTAGGAAAAGCGTCACTTTAAATTACAAAGCCAAGTTAGAGTAATCATCAAGAGATGCACACGGACGTTAGTAAGCCAAGCTCTCTCAGAGTTGGAAAGCTTGTTTGATCCTATCATTCCTACAGAACCTCTCTGATACGACTGAAATGATAACGGAGCCATGAATGAGTCACTAAGTGGGCAATGTACAACACAAAGGTACGCCATGTTTGACTATATCGTGTTGGCAACATTTTCAGTCTTTCCAGTAAGCCATATTCTAATGTCTAACAACACGTGCATACATCTATAAGTTATTTACAACATAACTTAACTGATGAGTTTAAAATTAATATTTGGAATTACTTCCTAAGGATCATAAGATAAAGTAAAATATGATAAAAGTCTGTAAAATATCCAACAATATTCTAAACCACTAAGAACTGATGACAGTAAAGACAGCAAATGCAGCTGCAGCATACACAGTTACTTTGCAGTCGTTCAACACAAGGTCACTTGACAACCACGGGTCACGGTCTCACAGACACGTCTTCCGGAGTCATCGTTTCTTCTGATCAACCTTTTCATCAACTCGGAGGTTCGCTGCCTTTGAGCTAAGACTGGCATCGGGTGCCTTGCCACCAGGGTAATAACGGTGAGAGGGTGGCAGAGCCCTTACTTTGACTTGGGCTTATTTCCCGTGTCGAGCTCGTGGCTCAGCTGGCGCTCCTGCTCCACCGGTTTCAGCGAGTGCATGGGCACCACCTCCGTGTTGCCGTAGCCCGCAAACGTCACGGCCACCGTGCCGCCATCAACGTTCACCTCCTCGATCTCCGCCTCGTACCACCTTGACACAGCGCATGCGACGGGCAGCGTCGTTCAGATCAATGTCTCAACCGGTGATCTCATGCTCACTTTCACCACAACTCACATCCAGCATCATGGCAGTGAGTGTTACAAAGATATGTGGCACGGAGGTGAATAGCATGGGGGTGAGTGGCACGGTGGCGCGTGCACGTACTGTCCGTCCTCGTTCCACGTGGCAAGGCAGTGGTCTCCCACGGCCCAGGGGGGCGCCTGGCTGCGGCCCGGCTCGCGCTCGGCAGCGCTGGCGGAGCTCTCACTCGTCTGTGTCGTCAGGAGGTCCTGCGTGAGGTCGATCACCTCCTGCGGCGCGGGGGAACACGGCAGGGGCCTTGAGGTCCCGCACCAAGAATCACGCAACACAAGCCTCGCCGCAAGTCCGAGACGTTCGGCACAATTCCAAGTGTAAACTCTGTCAAGCGATGCTTCAAAAGTGCACATCACAAAGGGGAAGTGTTGACAGAGAAACTTTCGAAAGGCCGCCGCAACATCCGTGAACCTCTAAGGAGCGCTTCTCGGAGGGGAAACAAAGGTCCCCCATGTAAACGCCAAAGTGAAATAAAAAATCCACCTTAGAGTGGCGGGTTTTAGATGTCTTTAGTGCTTAAAAATGGAGAATGTAGCGAGTTCATTCCATACGAAGATGGATTTAGACTTCCAATGGGGATTTGCAGTGCAAGTGTGGTGTGGGTTGTCGTAATAATTCCACTGATAAAAAGCAACACAAATCAAACAAGGGTGCTGGAAGCTTGTGTAGAGACACGTCTTGGTGCTATGCTCCATGACAGTGTATTTATTGTAATGAGCGCAGGGTTTTTCCTCCCGTGACCTCCACTGCAGCGACTGTAGAAGGCGGTGTGCAATGTTACCTGCAGATCCTTCTTGAGCTTGAGCAGGTCCTGATTGTTGGGGTCGGCAGTGAGTGCTGCCTCCACCTGCTGAAGCTGCACCTTGTAGTTGCTCAACTGAGTAGGCAGGTCCTCGGCCATCTGCACACAGAGGACGCTCCTCATCATTATGGCAGTTACTCTCAGCTCGCTTCATAGTCAAAACTCTACAGCACACACCAAAGGGTTGCTCGAGGCTGCTTATTCAGACCTGTCCACCCCTTATCCGTTGCCTACCTTATTCCAGACCAATTCAGACCTCATTAATCATCTCGTGACCTTATAAATCTCAACGTTCATCCTACAAAGTCCCATCACAAGGAAGAAACACAAATAGACAAAAAAATGGCCCGTATTGAAACGGCTGTACGCCGTATGGACCTGAAAACTCAATTTCCCTGTACAAGCATACGGGGTAAACCGTGTGGGTTGATAGCTGTGCTCATTTTTGTACGAACCAAATGTTGTGAACTCGTGCATGCAATACAGACGGCAAAACCACTGCAAGCGCACGATTACGATAAAATGTTAAATTACCAACACGCGACTCCTTATCCTATTAAATGTCCCGGTATCTTCCACATACACGCAGGTTTATTCCCGTATAATTACTAAATTAACCTTTCAATATTATTTGCACGTGATGTAACAACAATAATTAATATTAAATTGAATGAGATATCCCAAATGCCTAATTACATACATTAAAAGGTTTAAAATATATTAAAACATTACATTTTAGCGTTAGAATACATAAATACAATTCAAAACGTGAATGAAAGATGTTTAAAGACTTGACAAATTTTGTTAAAAGCTTGGCCGATTATAAATAATAGAGAATGCCAACATATATAGCAAGTGAAATTGCATAACCTACAAAATGAGCATCCTGAATAAACACACGAGCCAGCATCCATAACCAATTAATCATTCCTCAGTTGTTCATTTGTCCCACAAAAACACCACCGTTTTGTCACTTGTATTTTTAACCTAACGCTCAAAACGCCAAATTAAGGCACACGTCATCAAAATAGAAGAGACACAACCCTACATAACTCAAACACAAGTTATAACACGCAAGTTATAATACACAAGTTATAATAAGACATCGCGTACTCCTTGAACGCTTCCCTTGAGACCGGTGCTGCATGAGCGCCACAGAGACGGCGACTCGCGGTGAGTGAGCGACACGTGGGGGGAGGCGGCGAAGAGATTCTGAGGTGAAGAGGCTGGGAGGATGGTGAAAGGTGAAGAGGCTGGATGGTGAAAGATGAAGAGGCTGAGAGGATGGTGAAAGATGAAGAGGCTGGATGGTGAAAGATGAAGAGGCTGGGAGGATGGTGAAAGATGAAGAGGCTGGGAGGATGGTGAAAGATGAAGAGGCTGGATGGTGAAAGATGAAGAGGCTGAGAGGATGGTGAAAGATGAAGAGGCTGGATGGTGAAAGATGAAGAGGCTGGGAGGATGGTGAAAGATGAAGAGGCTGGGAGGATGGTGAAAGGTGAAGAGGCTGGATGGTGAAAGATGAAGAGGCTGAGAGGATGGTGAAAGATGAAGAGGCTGGATGGTGAAAGATGAAGAGGCTGGGAGGATGGTGAAAGGTGAAGAGGCTGGGAGGATGGTGAAAGGTGAAGAGGATGGGAGGATGGTGAAAGATGAAGAGGCTGGATGGTGAAAGATGAAGAGGCTGGATGGTGAAAGGTGAAGAGGCTGGGAGGATGGTGAAAGGTGAAGAGGCTGGATGGTGAAAGGTGAAGAGGCTGGGAGGATGGTGAAAGGTGAAGAGGCTGGATGGTGAAAGATGAAGAGGCTGGGAGGATGGATGGTGAAAGATGAAGAGGCTGGGAGGATGGTGAAAGGTGAAGAGGCTGGGAGGCTGACAGGTGGATGGGTGGATGGGTGAGTTGGTAAGAGGGTGAGTTGGTAAGAGGGTGAGTTGGTAAGAGGGTGAGATGGTAAGAGGGTGAGTAGGTAAGCGGGTGAGTAGGTAAGCGGGTGAGTAGGCAGTGTCTTTTCTGTATGTTGAACTTCTTTCGCACCGTACGTAGCCCAACGTTCGTTAGCGCGCTGCGCTACGAACCCGGCATGAGGACGGTTAACTGAACCAGTCCTGGACCTCCTCTAGGTCGGCTCAGACTCAAATGAGTACCTGATAGTGTGTAAACATCGCCATTCGGAAGACAAAGGCGGCCGGGCGTGTTGTTGGCCACCCATCCCCTCGTGTGCCGTGCCGGCCTTCGTAGGTGCTACTCGCTAACAGCACTTGCCCCTACAGTTTGTGAAGGCGAGTGCCGTACAGTATGTAAGAAACAGAGGCCTTCACGCCGTACGCGCAACGCGTAGACAACGCCACGGGGCCGCACGGTCAGCCGGACGCGGGACAGACGAACCCCAGCGCTGCGCGGATGGCGCGGAAGTCGGCACAGAGGCGGCGAGGCAGAGAGAAGCGGGCTAGAAGGCGGCGTGAATGACACTCTCTAGGAGTTTTATGGAGCCGGCCGCGCCGCGCCGCGCCCCCCGCTAGTCTCGATCTCTCGGCCGAGCGCCCCGCGTTTTCCCCGGCAGCGCGGTCAAAGCGAGGCCGAGGATGCGCGGCCCAGGACCTCGGGCTCTAAGGCCCAGGTCGCAGGGGTTCGCGCCACTCCGCGCTTCTCACTCCGGCCCCCCCCCCGCCCGCGGCCCCGACTCGCGGCCCCGACTCGCACCCAGTTCTCCGGCGAGAGCGCGCGGCGCTAAGCGGCGCGGATCTCCTCCCCGTCTCCTCCGGCGCCATCCTTACCGTGAGAGCGGAGAGACTCCAGGAGAGGCGAGACTTGGCGGCCTGCGGGTGACGTCACGTGCGGGGCCTGGTAACGAGACATGACGTCATGTCGACTACGCCGATGACGTTACCGGCTCGTTAGGTGCGGGGACGGGGGGCGCTCGAGTCATGTGACGCACGCGCGCGCTGCCAACGTTGATTGGCGGTTGGCACCGAGTGGGGAGAGCTGCCGCGTGTGAGCTCCGGGGGGCGTGGACGCCGATTGATATTTTGATTGATATATCTTAAACGAGTGTCGATTCTGAACATACATATATAAATCTAAGATATCAACACATATCACGCCACAGAAAGTTGTAAAAAAGCTGTTGTCCAACAGTCGAAGCCGTGTAGTGATGAAGTGAAAACCCTCTGAGCTGGCACCGACGCTCCCGAGAACAAAGCGGGAGAGCTCCTCTGTGATTGGCTACGAACTCGCGCCCCGCCCCTGGCTTGGCGTCGTTGACCAATAGCGAGCCGGGGGGAGCGCGAGGAGCAACGTGACGCGGGAACGCGGAGCTCTGTCGGGGCCGGGCCATGTCCGTGGCGCTGGGCCGCGCGTCGCTGGCGCAGGCGAGAAGCGAGGCGCAGAGCGACCCCCCCGCGCGGGGAACCGTGCACCGCCTGCCGTGCCGCGTGCACTGCACGGGGCCCGCGCGCGTCGCCGCCTTCTTCAGCCCGGCCGTGCGCACGGGAGACGGCGACGGTGAGGGGCCCGGCCACCTCTGCATTTGGGGGGGGACGTGGGGGGGGGGGACGTGGGGGGGGGGGACGTGGGGGGGGGGGACGTGGGGGGGGGGGGACGTGGGGGGGGGGGACGTGGGGGGGGGGGACGTGGGGGGGGGGACGTGGGGGGGGGGGGACGTGGGGGGGGGACGTGGGGGGGGGGGACGTGGGGGGGGGGACGTGGGTTGGTGGGGGGGGGACGTGGGTTGGTTTGGTGGGGGGGGGGGACGTGGGTTGGTTTGGTGGGGGGGGGGACGTGGGCTGGTGGGGGGGGGGGGACGTGGGTTGGTGGGGGGGGGGACGTGGGTTGGTGGGGGGGGGACGTGGGTTGGTGGGGGGGGGGACGTGGGTTGGTGGGGGGGGGGCGTGGGTTGGTGGGGGGGGGCGTGGGTTGATGGGGGGGGGGACACGTGGGTTGGTGGGGGGGGGGGACGTGGGTTGGTGGGGGGGGGGGACGTGGGTTGGTGGGGGGTGGACGTGGGTTGGTGGGGGGGGGGACGTGGGTTGGTGGGGGGGGACGTGGGTTGGTGGGGGGGGGACGTGGGTTGGTGGGGGGGGACGTGGGTTGGTGGGGGGGGACGTGGGTTGGTGGGGGGGGGGGACGTGGGTTGGTGGGGGGGGGGACGTGGGTTGGCGGGGGGGGGGACGTGGGTTGGCGGGGGGGGACGTGGGTTGGTGGGGGGGGGACGTGGGTTGGTGGGGGGGGGGACGTGGGTTGGTGGGGGGGGGGGACGTGGGTTGGTGGGGGGGGGGACGTGGGTTGGTGGGGGGGGGGCGTGGGTTGGTGGGGGGACGTGGGTTGGCGGGGGGGGGACGTGGGTTGGTGGGGGGGGACGTGGGAGGGGAGGGACAGTGGGGGGGGGGGACTGGGGGGGGGGACAGTGGAGGGGGGGGACAGTGGAGGGGGGGGACAGTGGGGGGGGGACAGTGGTGGGGGGGACAGTGGGGGGAGGGGACAGTGGGGGGGGGACAGTGGGGGGGCAGTGGGGGGGGGCAGTGGGGGGAGGGGACAGTGGGGGGGGACAGTGGTGGGGGGGGGACGTCGCGACGCTGTTGTCGCTGTCACCGCTCTACTCGGCAGAACTCAAGACGTCGTTCCGCGGTCGGGAGCTGAAGGGCCGCGCCGTGCCGCTGCCCCCGGGCTACTCGGGCGTGGTGGTGCGCGAGGAGTCGGCGGGGACCTCCGTGCGCCACGAGGTCACCACCGCCACCACCACTGCCACCACCACCACAGCCACCGCCACCACAGCCACCACCACCACTACCACAGCCACAGCCACCACAGCCACAGCCACCGCCACAGCCACCGCCACAGCCACCGCCACAGCCACACCGCTGCCGTCGCGTGCGTCCGGGGCATCCCGGGACCCTGCCTGGAGGAGAACCCCCATGGCCGGGCACAGAGAGCGTTCACGCAGCCGTGCCTATGGGGTTGTTGTGGCTGTTAACTTTGTGTGTGAGGCCAGCAAGAGCCATCGCTCCCGTGTCTGGTTTCGTGGCATTCGTCTTGTGGGCACCACGCGTTGAGTGGTTGCAGTCGATAGGAATCTCGGCTCCGTATCGTGAACTGTACGAGACAGATGCTTTGTTGTTGTTGAAGCAGGCAGGATGCTATTAGTTTAACACGTAGGCTTTCGCGACCAATATCCATGATACAGGGTTTTTTGGTTAGATCGCGTAAATGTTGTGGATTTGCTCTCCAACACACCGGTGTGCTGTACCAGTGTCGACTTGGCATGTTCTGTTGACGTGCCAAACCTTACTAATTGGCCGTGGCGGGTTTAACGACACATTTTCGCGATCCAACCCAAAAAACACCTTATGGAGTAGAATAATTAGGTCTCTCTACGGTAAGTATTCTATCACTATCCTAAATTTCACACTTAACTTACAATTTAACAATCTTTGAAACAGCGTATTCAACCAAACCATGCGTTGTTTTAACCGACCGTTTGTGTTGCTTTATATAGTTTCCAAATTTTGCTAAACCCTGTTTGATTTAGTGCGATGTTCCATCTCTCTGTATCCCCTGGTATATCTGTGTTAATTCCCCCTACTTAAGGTCTGTATATATATCTGCGGTTGTTTCCTCTACCTGATGATGATTGCTTGTGTTGCGATCGAAACGTCGTATGCTATTATATAATTTTATTTTTTATTATTTCTACGTGACTTTACCGAAAAAAAACAGAATTACACAGTTCGTGTTTCAAAGGGGATTGGCTTTTCTGCACCAAAATTTGGTGCCGTGGTGCCACCTTGCGGAGTTCGTGCCAACGATGGCGCTTCTCGTCTCGCAGGATCGCAGGGCCACGGCGCTGCGAGCCTTCTCGGCCATCTCGCACTGGAACCTGGAGACGGCTCCCTCGGGAGACGACGCGCTGCCAATGGCCCTGGGCTGGCCTGCGCTGGCCGATGCGGTAACCGCGCTAAGCTCGCCCTGCGACCCACACCACCACCACCGTGCGTGCGGGGATGCTCTCGTGAGACTTGAGCCGAAGCGGCTTTGAAATTTGACACATTGAGAGCAACTTTTCAAATTGGGTACGTTGCAAAGGAACCCTTTGCAACAAGGGGCACGCACACCGGCCCGTGTGTTCCTACATGTCCACATTTCCCACCCGAGAGGAGTGGATGGGGCCGCGTGTAACAGCCTGCGTGTAACAGCCTGCGTGGTCTTTCTCCCCACGAGGACCATTCTCAGTGACCGCACCACTTGAGGGATTTTACAATGCTCTTGATATTCAGATCCATCGCCGGACATTGCACATTGGCAATATTCCTCAAGGCTTTTGTTTCAGTGAGTGAGCAGGACCACGCAGGGATCGTTCTTCCCATTGCTGACCTCAACAGTGCTTGTACCCACTGAGGCTCAGCTCGTAGTGGGATATCTGTTGACCGCAGTGCGCTAAGGCCACAGCCTGTGTGTTTCTTAGGATTTACACAAATGCGATGCTGGCTGATGGTGATTGCTATGCTGCTGGTTTTTTAGCGACCCAAACGGGTGCCACGCAACGGGAATGTTTAAATTTTTTTCTAAATGGTGTCTGTTGCAGATTCATGGATCAGAAGACGAGGACGACTAGCGACGGTGGACATTTCGTGACGGGAGTTAGTGTTTTTATACAATAAAAGCATTAAACGTTAAAGTCTAGGCCTGTGTTATCTCAGTATAGTTTGACAATGCATGTGTGATAACTGCCTCCAAGACCAAATGAATATACGGCGATGTCTTTGAGTACGGACTGCTTGGAAAACCAATTCGAGCGTCGACAACGGAGTCCACAGGATTTCTTGCGATGTGCGGCCATGCAACAGCAATTCGTACTGCACTGTACATAGATGGAATGTACGTTTAAAGCTTAATAAAGAGTCAAGCGGTGTTGAGTCTGCAGGCTGGGACACACAAGTGACATGCCCAAAGGGATGTGCGTAATAGCCCTGATCCAGGTCTGTCATCACACCGCCATCTAACACGTTCACTCCAGAGTTACATTCCCGATGACAGGACACGCAGGGCAGAGCGGTGGATGGGTGCTCTGCGCTGTGAGCCCAAGTTCGATTCCCAGCCACGGCCTTCATCGGTGACGAGCGATATCCGAACCAGTCCCGGTTTCTCCTTCACCAGGCCGCAGAGACCAGCGTGGTGAAGTATAGTCAAGCTACGCTCGTAACTGACGCCGTGCGGGGAGGATATCATCCAGCAGTAGAATTACGAAAGTGCTCGGAATTATAATTACTGACGGGCGCACAAACCACACGAGGACAGTGCCCCGGTGCTCGCACCAATGTTCGTCTGTACGCGCCGTGTCGAGTTGAACTGAGATGTTATGACCTGCACCAGACCCCTACCTCTAGTGTAACCTGCCTATGAGTGACACATATCGTACTCCGGCTATTAATACACGCGATGCATTAATGATCTCATCCTGGAGTCTAACAAACCAAATTTAGCATGGCTTTAGAATACAGTAGAGTATGAAATTGGGATATTTTAATGCTAATACAGTATTTTACTTTCGATGCCGTTTTCCTTAAATTTTCATTACATTTTTATTGGCATTTTACCACCCTTTTGTAACTGGGATCTAGGGCTGGGACTGCCACCGTCAGCGTCAGTGCCCAAACAAAGATGCATCAAGGCTTATTCAATAAATCCCGACCAATGGTTTGCAGAAGCCCCATTTGCAGATAAGATGAAAACTTGACCTCCCCACATTCCCTTATCAGATTTCAAGTGTGGCAGAACAGAAATGGTGAATTTTCACGTGCCCTCAGCCCATGGGCCGATTTATTTAAATTTGAAAATTATGAAGAACAAGAGTGGAAATGAATGTAAAGGCGAGAGAAATGGATGCAGCTCACCATGAGCAGCGACAGCAAATCTGACGAATGTGGAATCGCATCCAAGCTATCCTGAACTTTCTGGAAATCTCGTTTGAAGATGTCCATTTCGAAACAATATTGAGCTGGTGCCAGATGCGACTCGGGCTTGTGATCGACACATTCTGTTCTGAACCACACACACTTGATTAAGTTATTGAGCTGAGACCTGGTTGTGTGTGGGACTGGAGCATCAAGAGATTATATCGGGTTGGTCATGGTAAATACGGCTGCTGGATTCAAACTGCGAACCTCTGCGATGAGCAGCGAACGCGCTATCGCCGGGCCCCATCGCGGCCCCGAGTCGGATCGCCTCCCCGTATGTGGAGCCATGCTATGGCTGGATGGACGGCCACCGTCCACGGGGAGGCATCTCCAACCGGTGCAGAGCGCATCACCATCCTCCAGACTTTTCAGTTTAGGGGCAACGGCGATCCTGCCATCGTCTCGTGAACCAACTCGCCCCTCAACGCGCCGCTGCGCGCACGTCGAATGATGGGTGGGGGGGTTATCTCGGCTTTGTGATGATTACGAGTTACCGATTAAGGAATCACTCCAGATGACAAAAACAAAACGCGTCACTCATTATAACTATACTGTATTTCCTTTCAAAAACGAAAGACATTACAATAATTTGTACAATATCTTTAAAAAAAGTATCCAATAACATACTATATGGATCTTTTTAAGGTTTAGTATTTTGTATGCTGCAACCTACTAAATGTTATAACACTACGACAGCTCAAATGATTTACACACGGTTTACACACACGTCCAAGGCCACAGGCAGGCTAGGAGAGCGCCCCCATGAGGACCCTTCAACTTCACTCAAGTAAAAGCAGCCCTAACAAAGCAGCGAATAGAAACATTGAGTTAGTACGATTCACACTTTCAGGCATCGTTTCAAAGAAAGAAGGTGCTCAAGCAATAAGCTATCAAATACGGAGTAACGAGCAAGGCGTTTATTGTCTGCATCCTAGCAACGTTACAGCTTTCAGCGAATGAAGTAGGACACACCCTTCCAGAAGGCAACACCCTCCCTCTGGCTCCCTGAAAAAGCACTGACCTAAAACACCTCCTACCCTGCACTGCATAGAGGCCAGCTGTGCATAGAGTTAAAGCAGTTTCAAGAACAGCACAACTTACAGTATGGTTTTTTTTACAGCAGCTGGCAGAGCTCAAGTCAAATCATAACGCAGATCTGCAACGCACCGCAACCCCGGAGACATTTAATGACCCACGCGCGCAGGGAGTGCCGGCTGGTCCACAGCCAATGGACAGCTGGGCTGGGTGGGGCGGCCCTGCCCAAGCCTGCGCCACCATCTCTCCTCCTCCTCCACCCCTGTTCAGTGAGCAGCAAACCCAGACTTCTTCAAGTTGAAGTTCGACCAGTTGACAGTGAGCTTCTGGCGGTTTTGTCGAGCAGAATCCATGCAGAACCTGCAGCAGAGTTTGAGAATAAAAAAACGGCTTCAGCTCTTCATACGAAAACGAGCAAACAGTAAGTGATGATTTTTTATGGCCAATGAAGAGCAACTTAGATATTTAGTGTGAAGTGAGTTAGCCATTCAATTGCTTTGAGAGTCAACTGCAGATACACTTCCTTCAAATTTCTACTTGAGGAAGTGCAAAGTTATATGATCTATATCCCATATTCATGGATGAGATCCAGAAAGCTGATTTGGAAACACGGCACAAAGTGTCACGCGGTGAGATACGGCATTAGTCAATCTACATTTAACTGTCCACCACGTGCTATTGACCCAACGGTAACATTTTCCTATAACTTAACATCTTGCATAAGTACCGATTTTAATAAATGCACTGTTACATGACTTTCCCGTTGTGATAGCTATTTATTTACCCACAAGAACATGTAAATGGACTCCAGTCTGAGCATAATCAACGATTCCATCTTTACTTAGAACGTTACCTTTTAAATCGCTCCACCTCTCGCTCGGTTTCGTCCAGGTCTCCATTATTCAAATCAATGTCTTTTGGAAGAAACACATCATCTGAAAAATAAAAACACAGTTAACAAGGTAATTCCAGAACAAGATTCACACGTTAACTTTATTGTTGTAACCTGCTGACCCGCTTCTACTGTACATCGGATTCCTCCAAAAGGATTCCGATTCTAACTTGAGTCAAGTTGAGGGATGGCGCTACAAATAAGAATCATAATCTAAAACAGGGGACCTCACCTCGAGGTCCACGGATCCCACAAGAGGACCACGGAAGGTGCACGGGGTCCTCCCCCCCCCCCCCCCCCCCCCCCCCCCCATGAACGGTCACAAAAATGCCAAGGCCAACTGCCAGGGTTATTCCTGTGCCAGGGTCAAAACCCCTCGCCCTCCGCGGTGGCGGCGACTTGACGGGACGCAGGTGGGAGCTCTAGCCGGGGTAACGCGGCCACTTCCACATCGGCGACCGCACCAAGAGGCTGCCACACGGCCACCCCAATTAGCGCCCCCTGCTCGGATGGAGCCCCCTCCCCCACGGGCGCCCACGCATTTCCTGGGTGGCGCGCAGCGTCGCGTGGGGCATCGTGGCATGAAAAACCACGCACACGTCCACACAATCGCGACGAGATCTGAACGTTCAACCAATTTAACGTTTGTCTTTTTAACCTATAGTTGTGGAGCACAGGCCCAAATGCCAAGTGGCCCGCAACGAACACCACCATGGATGGTGTGATAAATAAAAGTTAACGCACTTGTTGAATGAATTTAGCAAGCTTATAAGAACCTGGGATAAGGTATTATGGCGGAGGGAATTCTCGAGTCGGGCAGTAATGAAGGAACAGGATCTCGCTTGTTACACGCAACGAATCACCTTGACATGCGTGTCATGCCACACACGAAGCAGTGCGTGATGCAGCAATTACACAGAGGGGATCTAGGCTTGAGGTTCACCTTACATGTCCTACGGAGGTACACGAGGGTGCTAGTGTCAACTTGTCGAATGAGATGAACCCGCTCATAGGCATCGCCAAAGACGTGCGTCGCCGTGCCACAATACAGATACTGCCTCATTACGCTGATAAGGCAGTTACAATTATTGTTGATATCTGTGATTGAAGAAAACCTTAAGTCTATAGAGGATATTAACAGCACAAATGTGGTGAAATAATTAACGTGGCCTGACCAAAACATCAATTCACAAATCATAAAATTGAGCACCTTCATCATTAAATTTAATCTTAATTGTATAAACGTGGAAGCAGAGCGCCTGTGCGAAACGCTTGAAAGCAGATTCCATGTGGCGCTGCTCACCGATGGAAGGGTTGAGTCTCTCAGACTTTTTTTTCTTGTTCTTCTTGCTCTTGTTCTTGGGCTGAGGGGAGTCTGCTTTGCCATTAATCTCCGGCGTGTGCTGCTCGTCCGCCCCGTGCGGCTGGGGCTCGCAGTGCGGCCCGCGCGGCCCTTCTTGGCCGCTCGCCTTGCAGGGAGCGTGCTGCTCTATCTTGTTGTAAGTCTGCAGGGGTGCGTTTTCCATCTTGCCATTCAGTCCTTGCGCAACGCCTGCCGTGTTGCCGCTCTTCTGCGATCCGTTCTCTGACGTGCCACTTGCTTTGCGCGCGGTCGATTCAAGTTTTTCATTGGTCTGCAATGATGCGAGTGCAAACTTTTCATTGTTTTGCACAGCCACGTGGGAGTCAGTCACTTTGCCATTTTGTTGACAAACTAGGGGCTCTGTTCCCTTGCTGCGCTGCACCTCTGCTGCCCCCTTTGATTTGGCATGGAGCTCCGAGGCCTTGCCCTTGGGCTGCAGAGCATCTGGCATGGAGTAGCTCGCGTGCTGACACGCGCTCTTCGCGACGGGGCATTCAACTGCTCTTCCCTTCAGCTGCGGCGTGTCAGCAGCCGGCTTGCCTCTTAATGGAGGGAGTTCAGACCTTTTGACTTTGGGATGATCAGGCACCGCAGGCGGAGAAACCTGCTGCTCCCGATGGTGAACGTCGTGCTTCTGTAACGTACAAGACGGTTCTCCTACCAATGTAGAATCGGATATCTTTGTGCAGTTCATTTCCCTTTGAACTCTTCTGTGGTCAGATGCCAGATTATGTTTATTTACGGTTTCTTGTTTTGACTCCACTGCATTCTGCTTGTGCTGTCGCTTTCCCAACTCCGCAGGTTTTTGATCGTGAGTACCACGTGCTCTCTCCTCGTGTGCGAACGTGCATCTTTTGACGGATTCTAAAAAAGTCTGAGGTTCCGCATCTGAAGTCTTTATCACTGACGCACCGCTGCTGTTCTTCTCATAGCTAGGGGCCAGCGATGGGTCTGCCTTTCTAATTGCTGTAGTTGACCGCGCATCTTTGGACTCGGACAAGCCACCGGTGGACGCCGAATGAGTAAATTTAGTAGCCTGAGCTGCGTGCATGTTGCTAACTGTGCTAGCCAGAGTGCAGTTCTGAAGCAGCAAGTCCGCTTGAACGACGGGCGGCCTGGCGGGCCTCTCTGTGCTGAAGTGTGAGGGAGGCCTGCTCGTGCCGGGGAGCCTGGCGGGCTCTGGCTGTCCCACGCCGAGCTTGCTCTCTGTGCGCTGAAGTGTGCTTCTTCTCTGCTGGGCATCCTCCTCCACCACAGCCTCCTGCTGCAGCTGCTCCTGATCCCCACGCTCCTTCAGCTCCGTCTCTTGCTTGGCTCGTTCTTCCATCTACAAGACACGCACAAGGCAACATATGACGCACTCAGTACGGACTCGTGCAACGCATGCGTTATAAACGGCATTCATGAGCTGGATGGATCGACGCATCGCAAGGCTGCAAGAGATGGCGACGGCCTACGGAGGGGGGGCCTTCATCCAGCAGTAGAGAGATCATGGCTGACGATCACCACCGTCGTGTTTTAAGTTGTTCAACACTGGCAGCTCATTTCCTTTGGCACACGGGTATTATCGGAATGTATTCCCAGACGACAGGAACAACACGTGGGTGGCTGTGAAAGCGAGCGGTAAGGGAGGGGGGCGGGCCTGCCTTGCGCTGCTTGTGGCGGGCGCGCTTAGCAGCACGCGCCGTGTTGCCGGGCTTGGGCTCGCTGCTGTTGATGAAGCTTAGCAGCTCCTCCACCTTGCGAGTGTCGGCCTCCTTCTTGGGGGGCGGGGGGGGCTCCCGGCGGGGCGGGTCTTCCTTGCGCTTGGTGAGGCGCAGCCGAAGCTTCTCCCGCATCTCCGCGTAGTTCTTGCTGGTCGGGGCAACCGGGGGCTGCAAACCGCGAAAGGGGTTGAACGCGAGATCATCACAGACAGAAATGGTGCTCATTATGCCGACAACGGTATGTGTTCTAAGGAAGCTGAAGACATCTCTTCACTCTCTTGATATGAAAAAAAGCATTATTATTTTTATAAAGGCACAACCGAGAAACAATTGCGTGCTATTGTATAGCACTGGCAAAGCCATCCGTGGCAATGTGGCGGTTCAGATCTAATTTGCTAACTTGGACGAATTCCTGCTCACGGGGGAACCTGTCCCCTGCCTCTGCTGGGAACATGAACGACAATGTTTATTTAAACATGAAGTTAGAACGCAACACGTGCAGAGAGGGAAATTTGATGTGTCGTCTACTCGAGTGTCCTCACCCCTCCGTGGCCAAAGAACTCGCAGTAGCAGCAGTCGCAGTACTTCCCGTCCCGCTGGGAAGTGGAGGTAGAGGTACTGGAGCTTTCATCGGAGCAGCTATCTTCATCCTGGGACTCCTCGGTGCCGTACGTGTTCCCATCCGAGCAGCCAACGCAGTTTCCCTCGCTGAAACACGCGCCGCAGACACGGCAAATGAAGCATGCGTCCCCGTGTCCATGTGTCCGGGGATGCGCTGTCACGCGAATCAGCTAGCTTCTCCGAACTTTGTCTAAATGTTAGAATGCTTCTGTTACGTGCAATTAAACTTACTGAAGCTTTTAAACTGCTGTCCGATTAGGATTTTTAAGAAACAAAAATTTCGGCGGCCAGCTTATTCTCCTCTCAGCACTTCATGCCTCGCCCATCGCCCTCCCACCGATGTCCTCTTCTTCCCCCCCCACCAATGTGTACAGATACTACTGACTATTGTTTGTACGGTGTGTTGGCATATATGCCTTTGGGGGGGGGGGGAATTCGACACTTTTAAACCTGCGCGATCAACTTTCTACCCCCACATTTTGGGGGGTCCACTTTCTAAAACTTTTTGATTCAGGCCTTCTAAACCGCTCTTATAATTGAGTTGATAGACAAGCGTACAGACAGTTCATAGATAGCTTGCGCTCATTGCGGTTTCACTTACACGTGCCATTGGTCAAAGGTGTGATTATGCACTGTACGTAGGCGGTCGTGGTGAGCGACAAGGTGGCCGTGGTGAGGGAAGGCGGTCGTGGTGTGAGAGAAGGCGCATCTCTGCAAGGGTCTGGCCACCGACCTGCACGCGCTGGCGACGCCGTGCAGCGCCTCCACGTGTCCCCCGGGGGCCTTCCCCGAAGGGCACGCCCCCCCCAGGTGATGGCTCACAAAGCCGGGGGCCGCGGGCGCCTGCTTGGGGAACGCCGGCGAAGCTGCCGTTTTGGGGAAGGGTGCAGGCGAGACGGACTTGGGAAAGCCGCTGGAGGGAGGGGGCGGCTTTGCGAAGGGAGAGGCCGAGAGAGACTTGGACTGGCTCGCTGGCGCCACGGGAGACGGTGGCTTCGAGCACGGTGCCGCTTTCGCTGCGCAGGACGTGGGGGTGGTCTGCGGGTGACCCAAGTGCGTCGCTGGGGGGTTACTTGACAGAGGGCCTTGCTGGAAAGGGGATGAGCTGGAGATACCAACAGGGCTGCTTCTGACAGAGCCTGAAAAAGAAGAATATGTTTCTGCTGTCACACTCTAAGCTCTTGTAAAAGCATTGGCAGCAAGCATGATGAATTAACTCAAGATGAAAAGTTAAGTCACAGATGGAAAAGCATTCAAGCACTTTTTTTTACTATCCAGATACTTTGTTGTTATTAAATATTGCTGCGGCAATGGGAGATGCAATTAAAGCTGCCCTTACCTTTATGGGCATGTCCATTGGGCTGCTGCAGGGGGGCTGGTTTGGCTGGGAGAATGGTATGGTGAGCATTGCTCGAGTAGGATGCCAGGTCTAGGTGCTGCTGGCCTTGTGCGTGTGACGGTTGTGTGCCGTGTGTAAAGGGGTTGTTATTCTTCTCACTGGGCGCCTTGCAGTCGGTCGCAGCATGCCCTGCAAACACAAGCCGGCATCCGTTAGCCACTCCAGTCAGCATGCCCATGCTCCGAGGAGCTTTTTGGTGGTCTCCCGCCAGTGGTAGAAATTCCACGTTATTATGACGAGGACCAGTCTCCCATACAGGACAGCCCCCATGCTGACTGTATTGGCACCAGGGGCTGAGTACACCCCGACCAGATTGGCGTGAATGAAACTCCGATTGTAATACCGGTCCCTGTCGCGCAGCCACCCAGCCAGGGGTCCTCACCACCCCCTGCTCGAGAGTTACATTCATGTTTCGGCGGCAACCAACTCCAGAGACTACTTTTCCAACAACGCATGGATGAGATCCAACACACGATGGAAAGATGTACAAGCAAAGCTTACACTTTACTAGAAGTGTCATCGACGAAACACAAAGTAGCATGTTTTTTTATTATTATTCTATTGAATCAACAAAGTGTGTGCAAGCAGCAGCAGTACCTGTGTCTGGCAGCACTCCGAGGGTCCCCGCGAGCAGCTCCGAGGCCCAGCTGCCCGTGTACCTGTGAGCCGCCAGCAGCTCCGTGCTCCACTCGCTGCTCGTGGCCACGGGGTACGGGGCGGCGGTGGCGCCGGCGGCCGGCTCCACCACGGCCGCCCCCTCCAGCCCCAGCCGCAAGCCCTGGTGCTTGCAGCTCTGAGGGAAGGCCGGCGCGCTGAGGTTGAGCAAGCACTGTGAGAGAAACATCGACACCGCTCAATTAGCGTCGGCATTGTTTAAAGGCTTCTTGCTTTCCAGCTGTTAAATTGTCGAATTCGTCATTTGTTCTATTAGGCACCTCTACTCCATAGCCATTCAAAAACATAACTAGTTGTTCCTGCTTTACAATATCACTATATTAAAATACCACTATACTCGACAATATCACTATATTGTAATACCACTATACTCGACAATACCACTATATCATGAACCAGGCACAACGGGAAGAACATGCAAACTCCAAATATATCGACCCTGACGATGCCTATGTAGATGGAGTTCGCGTGTTCTTTTCCCATGGTCGCGAGAGTTTTTCTCCGTGTTTCTCTGGTGTTTCCCTCCACAATTAGACTCAATATGTGTTTATATTATTTGGCCGCTACTATAAATTCCCACGCGTGGTGATGATATCAGCCACTTGAATAATGCAACAATAAGTCTATCAGTGTTGTTTGCTCAAGCCGGAGTTGTCATGCATTACACCAACACGCCGCACAGAGATCGCTCTGGGCAACGCGTGGGCCCACCTTGTTGGAGGCCGAGGTTGCTGAATAGAGAGCGGAGCTGCTGGCTTGAGATGGTGGGTACACGGCAGCAAGGGCTGAGGCTGGTGGCACGGGCGGTGCCGGGTACACAGGATGCGGCAGGAAGGGGTTGAGGTGGGAAATGTGGGCGAGGGGAGAGGGGCTGGGATGCAGGGGCAGCTGCCCGTGTATGTGGGGGTACAGCTGCAGCGTGGGGTGATGCGGTAACTTGTCAGCCAGGAGTAGCTGCTGGCCGCCTGGCAGGGCTCCTGAGGGCAACGCAGGAGCCAAGCCCCCCACCTGTTTACAGAAGTGACACTCGCAGCTCGCAGGCACTCCCTCCCCTGCCTGCAACAACACACAACAACAATCGCATGACGTCACACAACTACAACAACCGCCAGACTTCAGCATGCTAACAAGTTGTATGTTAAGAAGTTGAAACTGCCAGATGACAGCATTGTGATGCACGGGTTATAAAAACAAAGCAGCGTTTTGACCGTTGAAAGAATAAAGGCCGTGGTTTTCATGTACGATAACATAATTGTTTTCTCAGGGATAGTTCAATATTTTCAAAGTGTGGACAGGATGTCAATTTTTACATGCCACTCACTTCAGATGGAGCAGGTTAAACGAATGTTACCTAAATAATTTAATCAGATGTACCCGTGCCCTATAGTGTACTGTTTGTACACTCGTGAAATATTGTAATGCCTAAACAATTACAAGGACCAAAAACGCAACACATTCATCAATAATACTGCCTTAAAAGGAATAATATAAACATAAAAGGTGACTCATATTCTTAGTTTTTTCGGTAAAGTCACGTTGAAGGGAAACAACAAAATAATAATATATATAAAACAATAAAAAATTCTCACGACGTTTCGACCATAACTCAAACGGTCGTCTTCAGGTGTGTTGGTTTGCATACATTTATTTTTAAACGGCGCATTTATTTATTTATAAAAACGTTAGCGCCATGCGCAACGATTTGGCAGTTTATTTAGGACTAGTCCATCTATATTCTGAAAAGAGGAGGGGGGAGACGAAATGTTTTATAATGTATGCTGTCTGAAAGCCACTGTAAGCGTGAACAATCAATTAAGACCTGAGATGGTTTATCAAATCTTTCCAATGATTGCTAAGATAGAATCCATCTTCTCGGTTGAAATTGTCTCTGTGCTTGTATATGTGGATAGCCTCATGAACGAATCTCTCATGGAAGCCAGATGGCTTACAAAGAACCTCTGTCTTGGAAAAGTCAATGGCATGTGAGCCTACTGAATTAGAACAATGATCTGCCACGGCCGAGGTGTTGGTCCTACCGTGTTTAAGGTCTGCTTTGTGTTCACGAATGCGGTCCGAGACATGGCGTTTGGTTTCTCCAATGTAACTACTACCACAGAGGCAACTTAGTTTGTAGACACCAGGGTATTGTATGTCCGGAATCACATCTTTTACAGACGGAACCAGATCACGGATTTTATGTAATGTGTTGAAACGGACCTGGATCTTGTGTTTATTCAAGATTTTGGAGATCTTTTTTGTGATCCTCGCAATGTAGGGTAAAGTGATGGTTTTGAAAGGCTCCTCAAGAGGGTTCTTCTTCATGGTTTGAGTGATAGCTTTGCGGATTGTATAGTCGGAGTAACCATTAGCCCTAAGAGCTTGGTGTACGTGCTTGAGTTCACTGCTTATGTGTTCCTGGTCGGATATGCATTGGGCTCTATGATACAGAGTCTTGATGAGAGAATTCTTCTGTGATGAATTGACTTTACCGAAAAAACTAAGAATATGAATTACTGCAGTCACGAAAGCTTTAAATCAAAATATAAAAGGTGACGATCGGGCAATGACCATTCTTCATTATGTGCATAGGTGGCATTTTCTAACACGTGCGAGTGATGGTTGTGTTGAGTTGTTTGTTATTTGTGCCTTGCACCACTGCCAATTCAAAGTCACGAAAACATTTTCTTGTAAAATTCCACCTTGGTATTTGCACATCCGTTCACAGAGCACAGGTGCACACAACATAGCCCGCTCCATCAGCTACTGTCGGCATGCAGCCTGGACTAGACCAAGCCACTCGCAGCAAGACGGGCAAGCTTCATGGGGTTAAATTAACCACACGATTATGCGCAGGCCTAATTACAGCGTGCAGAGGCACTTTTTGAATTGACCTTGCCACGACCACTGCTGGGGGCTTACAGAGTGATTAAGAGCCAAAAAAACCTTATATAACTGCGTGATGCTTAAATTAACGACCACTTTCTAACTCCCTTAAAATTTTCACGGTGTATTTCGTGGCATTTTCAAAGGTTCATGTCCGGCAACTGCAAATTCTGAAATAAAGAAGCTCATTAGAGAATGGAGATGTGAAAAAGTAGAGGCAAAGGGAATAGTAGATGAAGGTAATTGCAAAACAACAATCCTGCGAATTGTGCTTAAACAAAACCCTTGGGACCACTGCACTGTGGCTGAGCGCGCCGCCGTCTCAGCGGAGACGATGCCAAGCAGGCACGAGAGCCGAACGACGCGGCCTACAACATGGCAACGTCTTAGCCATGGTAGTTCCAAGTGTGCGGAAAATAACGAACGTCAACTCAACCATCGTCTTATACGATGGTGGCGGCGTGTGCACTAGTGCACGTTGGCAACAGCAATGTCTGGGGGCGAGCCTAATTCCTGTGGTGGGTTATTGCACGACGTGTGTTAGTCCTACATCAATTCTTACAAGCAGCAGCAGTGCTTTTACGAGGTGGCAAAACTAATAAATAACGAAAAAATATCACTCAAAACCGCTCTACTAATTTCTTTAGAACCGATTTTTGTGTTTAGTTTGTTGTCCTTAAGAAATCATGAATTTAGAAATCTGTGGGAACGCACGCCGGGAGTGGTCATGGCTCTGCTGTCAGAGGAGAGCGTGCCAGGCCGCTCCCACAGTTATTTCGTGTTTCAAGCAAATATTGAAGAATTGCCAATGAGCCACGTGTCTATTGTGCCACACTTGAAACAGCCGCCCGGAGAACACGCCTGGCTCGTGAGCCGTTGCGGTTTGGTCGCAATTGCTGTATTGTGTCAGTGGTTGCTATGGTTGTGTTTAATAAGGTCGTAGAAGTACACGTAATCGGAGGGTGGCCACAACATTGATAATGTTTACAAATTCTCATGTTCCAGTTCATACCCATTGGAATCCTTTTCAATGTTTATATATTTTGTGCACAGTTTTGTGTGATGCAGCGGCAGATATTTAATTTAGTTCCTTATTTAATACACTTCACAAAACAGTCACCTTTGCAGAGTTGTGGAGAAAGTAATAAAAAAGATAAGCAAACAGGTCTCCCTAATACATCTCTTTCCTGAAAACTTAGTGAGGCTTCCTTGGGCAAATAAGCAGAATCATAATATTCAACGCACAAATTAATCATCCCAATGGAGTCCACAGCGGAAAGAGGCACCCAAAGCACAAAATGGCAGGCTTCACCGTACAAATACCCAAGCGGGTGTTTGTGAGAGGCAGAGCTAGCTAAATAAAGACTGTTACCTCGCGACCGGGAAACCCGACTGTGAAGAGCTCCTGGCCGTCCTTGTGCTGCGCGAAGGCCACGGGGAGCCCGCCGCTGGCGCCGTGCAACGGGCCCCCCCCCGGGTACTCATCCGGGACCGACAACTGACTGGCTCCGTACTCGCCGACGTCTGGCGAGAACTCTCCCTCATCCTCGTCTTCGTCCTCCTCGTCCTCCTCGTCCTCCTCCTCGGAGGTGCTGCTGCAGCTGCTACTCTTCCCAGAATGCTGCGTCAACCACAGGCGAGGGGCAGCGCAGGGTCGGAAAAACAAGCACTGAAATTAAACATTCTATTCTCATTACACATTGTATAAAACGATCAAGTAAATTATGCTTTGCGCCCTGTAAGTGCGGAGTAAAGGAACACGCATGAACATGTAAGTTGCACCAAACGAGTGGCCACCCTGACTTGAAGTGGCGGCGGTGTGGCCGGCACCGTTTCCTGGCCGCCCGTCTCTATTGCCGCATTCCCCACGTGTGGGCTGCACTAGCAGCAGGTAGTAGTTTATTTAAAGCCGAGTGAACACAGTGGAGGCTCAGGACAGATTTACACCACACACCGTTGTTATCCATATTGGAAATAGACCTCAGCCTATGAGGATTGCAGCAGTGCACCTACCACTGTGGTGTATGTATATATACAAAAACAAATACAACGTTCTCCCATATACCCTTTAACAGACTGTTGAGGCAAGTGATGTAGGCACCTATGAAGGCAGGCAAGGCAGAATGGGCTGGCTGACCAACACCACGGCCAGCCACGTGTCTCCCCAGTGTCGATGTTTTCACACCGCACCAGGTCCTCATTTAAGGCTGAGTCAACGCAGGGGACCGGCTCAAATATTCGCCAATGTTATTTGGTCGTGAGTCCAGTTCATAGCAGTGTGCTAACCTTAAAGTACCGCTCTCCGTAATGTACATATACAACAAAGACAAAGACCCCGTATAGTCTTAACAGACTGTTGGGGCAAGTGTTGTTAGTGAGCACATATATACACACACGTGAAGACCACTGACATACACAGACAAATATATATACACACATGCATAATCAAATGTATGCTATGGGTAGAGAAAACTGTCTGTTGTTGAAGTGGGTATGCAACAAGACAAAGATCCCCCCCGCCCACCGTACAGCTTCAGCACTTGGCCCCAATAGTGTGGACACACGACGTACCACCGCTCGCTGGCATGCAATCGCCACAGAGACGGTTCACACCGCCGCACAGCTGGGTCGGCTTCACGTCTTCGGGAGGGCAGGATATTATTTATTTATTTATCTGGGAGACTAAATATAGCCCCACTGAGGATTAATTGGGTTACAGCAACAGAACGAAATATTTTAAAAAATGTAACAATTCTAGACTTTATACATAACAGAATGGAGCTGTGGGGCGGCTGATCAGTGGAGAGCGGGTGGGGGGCCTGATGTGCAACGCTACTGCTGGGGCACAGGAGGTGAGCTATGCCAACGTGCAAACACACGTCGCTCGCTGCGGAGAAGACAGGGTGAACAGTAGCAGCGTTGTGACCGACGTAAAGGAAAATGCAGCCCAAACAACGTTTCGCCTTGTCAGACGAATACCTCAGCCGTAACCCAGGCAGTCCCACACGAGTCTGAAGCTTTCATTAATGAGGACAGAGAGAATTTCATACCACAGGAAAATGCTTTGCTGTTGTCACCGCAGCGACGTTGCATGCATGTGTGTATGTCGAACTTCTTTCGCACCGTACATACCCAACCGTGCACGAGAGAGAACGAGGGTGTTGCGGCAGTGACCCCATCATGATTTTTAAAAATTATGATCGAAGCTTAACACTTGTCAACTGACCCGCCACCCTGTGTGTGATTTTGTTTGGGTTCCATCTTCCTCCGACGTGCACCGATTTACCGGTGCGCGTATTTAGATTGAGCTCAGCTTCTAAGGCTCACCTCGTCTTTGGAAGCGAGGTTCTCCCCGGCACCATTGAGGACGGTGTGGAGGCTGCCGGTGCCCAGCTCCACCCCCGAGTCTGGGTAGCTGCACAGCGCGTAGACGTCCGCCAGACTGTCAGGGAGTCCTGCCACCTCAGCCTCATCTCTGCAGACACGGAGCACAATGCAGACACACCCTCAGGAAGTGACAAGCAATAATGCCCCCTGCTGTACACGGGTACTGCAGTGTGGGATGAGCATCAAACTTAACAGCCAAAGCACGTGTGTGGGCCTTAATACGGCACCCAGAAACACGCACTGCTCAAAGCAAGTCTATTGCTGACAATATTGTAAAAACATCTAAGGAATCCATACTCTCTGGTTCTTTCGGGAAAGTCACGCAGATAGAAAAAATAATAATAGAACACGACGTTTCCGTCACAACAGAACCTGCTGACGGACGCTTGTGTTGGTCGTGTTGCGACCAAAACGTCGTGTTCTATTATTATTTTTTCTATCTATGTGACTTTACCGAAAGAACCAGAGAATATGGATTACTGCAGTCAAGAAAGCTTCAAATCAAGATCTAAGGTATAATGTCAAAAATATTATAAAATATCTCTGTAAAATACAAAATGCTTAAAATATCAGACAACAGAGAATGCTTCTGTGAGAGACTAATTATGACAAACGAGAATATATTCATAGCAAAATAAAAACCGACTGATTTTCAATACACTCCATGTGGAGGTTATAACAGTGACAATCTCATACTTTTGGTATTTGTGCCATTCACATAGCACAAGGCTATCATGATGGTGCGAGTTTTCAGTCTGCGGTAGTATCGCAGTAGGGGGCAACGTTGCGCTCTGGGTAATCCACATCGAGTAATTGCGTAATTTGCGGGTCATTTTTTCTAATTTGGACCATGACTCCGGCTCACGTTGGCCTCATCGTTTCGAGTGACAGCAGAGGCTCTTTAACGCCGTGAAGCAGTCGGCACGTGTTTATCGTTTGAACACGCCCGCAGAAATAACTGGAAATTCAAACCCCAAACCTCTGCAACGATCGCACCACCGCCAGGCGGCATGCAGCACAAACATGGAGGCGATACCGGCGAGGGCGCCGTGCGCTTGGCTCGTACAGCTCGGTGAAGTTGGCGTCGGGATGCTGCCGCGTGAGGGGTGGAGTGCTGGGCCCCGAGTCGCAGTCGGAGCTGGAGGAGGAGATGCTGGGGGCGTGAATCTCCGACAGGTATTCCCTTGCCGTGCCGCTCGGCAGCGCCAGGGAGTTGAGGTGCAGGCTATCTGGCAGCGTGGGCTCCATGAGCCCGCAGGTGAGCATGTGCGAAATGCTGCACTGGTCGCACGTGCACCTGCGGCGGATCACAACGGAGCCATTCTCAATGGCCGCACTCCACATAACCGTAATGTGCTGCCAGGGTGCATCGCACGTTGACTTGCAAGCAATGGTGAATCACTTTATGGCTAAGTTTTATGATAGTGCTATCAGCGCACACGAATAAGAGCATTTCTCACAGTTACGTGTGAGATTTATCACGGATAACAGAAATTATCACTGAAGTTAAACTGGTGTAAAAATCAGCTTTAAAAAAAAATCGGTTGCAGAATCACATGATAAATAAATATACAGCAAACATAACGAGAAATGGTGAGGATGACGTGTTTAAGGACAGGATGACATGTTTAAATTGAAAACACAAAATACAAAACAATACAGTACTTAAAAAACACGTTTGGAACAAGTTGGCATCACAATCCATTAAGAGCTCTCTATTTATCCTGTGGTTATGTATTAACTTCAGATTGTAAAACCATATCGGATTTCATTTTATCCACACTATAAAATGTAGTTAGTCAAAATCAGAGTGATTGTTGCTGGTTCAGCGTGGAAGTTTTGTTGTTTCTCTCGCTTTGCGCTCCTCCTCCACCCCCCCAGGAATTACACACAGACACAAACCTGGCAACGGTGGACCTGTGGACAGCCTGTATAAATCCCAACACGCATCATGGGAAAACCCAATCCTGGCCACTCGCCTGCATGTGTACACCCTTACCGGGCACTTACTGCGCACTCAGCATTAATGCAGTGGCATTCCATTAGTAGTACGCACGACTCGCCACCAAACAATCACTGTAATCCTTATCAATCTTGGGACAGCAGATTACAAAAGTCAACAAGAATAAACAATAAAATGGTTTCATACAGAATATTAAGCAAAAGCCATATCACCGGAAAAACAAATAAACATAACCGTGGCCAGCGAGCTGCATACATCTCTGAGGAGTAGTTGAAGGCCAAGTTCTTAAGGTTTGGGGACCATTGGTTTTGGGGCAGCACGTGGTCCACAGCATACATTGTCTAGGAATGGTAATGGCATCAGTGACCCCTGACCTAGTGCTCATAAGAGCATGGATACTCTCTGGTAAACGTGCATTGTGTGGAGTAAACATTCCCCAGGCGGTCTCACCGCTGTCGGTAGTTGCAGTTTGGGCAGTCTCCCAGGTTGAGGTGCGAGGTCGAGAGGAGCTGTGCGACCGCCTCCGACACGTTCCCCTCAGCCAGCTCACACTTCTTGCTGTTCATCAGCTGCTCCCACCAACACACGAGACAACCAAATCACAAACATGCAGCGTGCAACGAAAGTAAACTCTGCTACGTATGACGATGAACTTCTTTTGCACCATACGTAGCCGAACCGCGCTAATCCGAGGTGTGTGTCATTCCAATGGGTTCCCTTCCATTGACAACTCATCGCACTTAGTGCGCCAGTGTATAACGCAGCATTGACCAGAGCGCACGAGAAAATTCATAATGTAGCCTACATGCTAAATTGCACAAGAGAATGTTTATTTTGCAATTCTACAGCATACACTGATGACTGCACGTTTAAGCGTTAGTCAAAAAACGTGAAAATGGTCTGTGTAAGATATGGGTTTTCCACGCAGTTGTGTATACGAGCACATTTACACCTCCGATTAGCACAGTTGGCTACGTATGGTGCAAAAAGATGTTCAACATTCATACATATATACACCTCGACACAGCCCCGAGTTCATTCTCAGTGATGGCCAATATTAGAGCAAAGCCATCTCTGAACCATGTCCACCCCCTTTCACGCACGTGGTTTTAGAGGACAGCCTTCAGGGAAAGCAGCTTTAAATCGATAACAACATTGTGGGGCTGGGACTTGTGTTTACAGAGGGGATAGAAAATTATGTATAAAATACTAATTTACATTTTATGTTGTGTCGATATTGCAAACTGCATCTCAAAATCGCTGAGGAACCACAGCCAAGCTGTAAGGCAGCCAGGTGGTGAGCCGGCGCCAACAATTGCCCAAGCTCTGCGGTCCTCTCTATATTCAGATGTTATCAGCCAATTGTTTCTCCATGTGGGAGGAAACCGGAGCACTCGGAGAAAACCCACAAACGTGAGGGAGCAACACTATCCCATACAAATGGGACAGATGATATTCGTCCGCACTTTGCTGTACTGCCTTCTCCTTGTATGGCACCTCGACAGTCCGCTAAAGGAATTTCCCAAGATTCACCAACCCTCTCTGCTTCCACACAGTGCATGGATTACAGGCCACGTGTATAGCCACCACCACCCGGCTACACTTCTCTCGGCAGCCACAAAATGTAAAATTTCCCCCCATGGGAGAAACTAAGACTGTGGACAAAACCTATGGATGCGCATCAGCTGTGCAGACGGTGTGCACCTTGTGTTTGTATTGTTGTTGGAAATATTAATTAAACAAAATGGAAATGCCAAGAATAAAGGTGACAATAATGGCGTGAAGATGTCAACTTGTTCCAATCACTGGGTATATTTGGACTTTGAGAGATACTGATAAGAAGGTTGTGTGTGGTGTAACAAATTCAGCTGTACACAGAGATGAACTCTGGGTTCTCTCTCCCAACGGTCTCCCACCTGCTGCTCAATGAGCTTCCTCTGCTTATAGAGCTCCCAGTCCTCCTTCTGTGCCTTTTGCTTTCTTTTCAAGGCAACCTGCAGATATGCACATGATTTCACATGATTTCACATGACTGTCTCAAACAAGAAGAGTAGGCGTACGTTCCCAGGGAGGTGTGTATCGAGTTGTACTGGTTTACCAATCAGGATTTGTCGCAATTACCTTGTTTCGTGGAGTGGATTAAAATGTATTTAATTACTGGCTATTCCAAAAATAAAATCGCCTGTCTTTTTATGAGCCTCCTCAATTTTATACAATCTACATGTCAACAGAGTGCTGTGCCAGAGGACCACTCGGCTGATTGACACAACACATGGCAGCCTCCGCGTCTCTCGAGATGGCTGGCACGTGCACAGCAGTGTGGGGCCGATACGAGAGGAGCTGCTCCTTGCCACAGCACGGGCAGACTGTGGCTACGAGGGCGACGCTGCATTGAGGTTCCCAAAGGGAGCGTACAACAGGTTGCTTTGTTTACCGACACAATTTGAAAAGGTCAAGCATGCAGCTTGACCGATGTCTGCCATGTGCACACCAGACACAATGCGGGTTTTAAACTTCCTCCCATTAATATCTGTTTTCTTCTCACCTCTGAGCACCGCACTTCTGCAGTGTCAACGTGTTTGTCCACCTGGCCATTTGTGATTTTGTCAAATCGTTGTACAGTGATTGATTTCCTGTCCTTTTTTTCATGTCCTATCTTCCATGTCAATAGCCATGTTTCTTATTAAATAAACACAGGCTGGGTAGCCCCTGAATCGTTATCTATGGCATGATATTTGTTGCCACGTTTGATTTTTTTTACATCTGATTTTCGGCAAGAAATTTCATGAACTTATTAAGTATATCATCAATTATCGGCAACCGAATATGTTGCGGATAACTGACGACAATACGTTTGTTAGATATATGATCAAATATCATGCCAGACGGCATTTGGTACTTCATCATTTCCAATGCCCCATCTGTCGAGTGGCCCCCATTTGCAGGTGGCAACATCACCGTGGTCCAGCGTGCCAAAGCCACCACCACCACCTGAACGATGACGACGTCGTTTGGGGCAGTGTTTTGTCATGCGGTAGGAGGCTTACATGCACCGATCTATTTAGAGCCTGAGTTTGAAAGCTGTGGCTGACCTCCGTTACAAATTAAATATTCTGAAACTGCCAAATAACGGCATGACTTTAATTTGTGCACCTAAAAAGTTTTCAAGTAAACCAAGCTCAAAAAAGAACTACGTGCTCCTTGAGTTCTTAAGGTTTGGAGACCCATTGGTTTTTGGACAGCATGTGGTCCACAGGATAAATTGTTTGGAAATGATAACTATATCAGTGACCCCTTACCCAATGCTCATTAGGATAACGGTTTCATCCAAAACACGCTGCAGAATGCCCTATCATTCTGACAAGAAGAACCTTTACTGCCTACAACATGTACTTGCTGAATTGGGCTGCTGTTTTTAATTTGTGCTGTGCTGGGTTGCATTGACCTCCAGTTTCACAGTCCAAGATTTAAGCTCTCTTGGATGTAACTATGCCCCATTTTTTTAACTTGGTCCATCTCAACGTGAAAACATCAAACAGAAAAAAATTGGACAGCTCTGTATGAGATTAATTATTAGAATATGAACTTGTAACATGCTGTCCAGTATCTGCTCAGCCTCATAAAGAATGACTCAGGAGGCACGAGGGATCACAGACAAGCGGTAAGCTGGCATTAACAAGTGCCCAAGTTCTGTGGTACTCTATATATTAAGATATTTTCAGCCAATTAATGAGTGTTTACATGTGGGAGGACCAGAGCACCTAGGAGAAAATTCATGTGTGAGAGTGGTTAACACTATCCCATCCAGGTGGAACAGATGGAGATTCGTCCATATATCCTGCCAGGCCAGGGCAAGGCACCATTGCCATGGGGAAAGGAATTTCACAATGTGTGATCCACAAACCCTCGCCTCCAGTGTGCTGGATTACGGGTGCACGCAGCCAACACCGCCCGACTAATACCGGCCAAAAAGTGAACCGCAATATTTGCAAGGCATCATGGATGAAAATCATAGGGGATCAAAAGCCCATGTAAAATTGATGAAACCATGTTTTTCATTTTTTAATGGGGCCCATGCATAATTCTTATTTGAATTTTGCCCTGCCTCGGTCCACATGGAGAATTCGACCAAACTGGGTGGAGATCAGGCCATGCCAGTGAGCGGACTAAGTGCAGGTTTAGGTCCAATAAGCGAGAGGAAATATACAACCCCTATCAGCCATACTGAAAACACGTAGCTCAAATAATGCACACACGAAGCTCCACAGTGCACACACAAAGCCCTACAGTGAACACACGAGGCACCATAGTAAACACACGAAGCTCGATAACGAACACACAAAGCCCCATAGTGAACACAAAGTCACACAGTGAACACACAAAGCCCCATAGTGAACACACAAAGCCCCAAAGTGAAAACAAAGCCACACAGTGAAAACAAAGCCCATAGTGAACACACAAAGCCACACAGTGAACACACAAAGCCCCATCGTGAACACACAAAGTCCTATAGTGAACACAAAGTTACACAGTGAACACACAAAGCCCCATCGTGAACACACAAAGCCGCATAGTGAACACACAAAGCCGCATAGTGAACACACAAAGCCCCATAGTGAACACACAAAGCCACATAGTGAACACACAAAGCCGCATAGTGAACACACAAAGGCCCATAGTGAGCACACAAAGCCCCATAGTGAACACACAAAGCTGCATAGTGAACACACAAAGCCCCATAGTGAACACACAAAGCCCCATCGTGAACACACAAAGCCCCATAGTGAACACACAAAGCCCCATCGTGAACACAAAGCCCCACAGTGAGCACAGGAAGTGAGCGTGCGCAGGCATTTGTCCCGGCAGTAAGCTGCGTGTGGCTGAGTTAAGCGAACCTGCTCATCCACGTAATCGTCAATGCGCTTCTGACAGTCGTTCCACTGCGCGGCAATGCACACCATGCCCTCCTCGAAGCACCGCATGCGTCCCAGCAGCTCCACCGTCGCTTCATCCTGGGGCTCATCTTGTGATCTGCTCGCACGTACCAAAAACATCGCCCACAGCCCATGATACGAGACATCGTATAAGCCTCTTAGCTGTTTGTCTTGTCTTTAAATGTAAACCCTCCATAAACGCGTCAATTAGGTCAGTTTGTGTGCAGGTGCTGGGTAGATTGTGTGACCCAAGATCTTAGGTGGTGGCGGTTTGAGGCCTTCTTCCAGCAGTGGATTGATCATGGCTCACACATCGTTGGATTTGAGTGTGCTGTACAAGATATGTTGTAATGATTTCAAATTGCATTGTTGACAATAAGTACTTATATTCTTAGTTTTTTCGGTAAAGTCACGTTGAAGAGAAACAACAAAATAATATAATATATATTAAAAAACTAAGAATATGAATTACTGCAGTCACGAAAGCTTTAAATCAAAATAAGTACTTAATTAGCCCACATCCCTTTGCTGTGACAATTTATAAATATTAACTGGGTACACAGATCCCTAAGAATTAATAACCAAAATGGGATGGAATTAGAAAAACTCCACAGCAGAAGTTGTGTCTGGGCCAAGTTAAAGTCAATTTACTTTGTACAGGGTCCACTGTGCTCTGGGTATTTGGCACAAGCCGTGTCACCCACATGACATCTCAAAGCATTAAACCGGCTCGATGGATATAAAATTATACATTTTACTACTCGTCAGAAATTGTCACCGACACAAGGTTAACAATTCACCTGTTGTGAGGGAGATAAGTCACGAGCCAAAGCTTAGCACGGTTGGCTACGTCCGGTGCAAAAGAAGTTCAACATACATACATACAGCACTGCAGAAAACACTACTGAGTATCACAGTACAATCGCCAGTTGCGAAAACACATCATCACTAGGAATGTTGGAAACTCAGTGAGGTTCACTCTCTGTTACAACTAATTGCTGCTGTTCTCTGTGTCATGTCCAACATTGATCAAGCCAGACAAAACAACCACGAAAATCTCCTTTTCTTTGGCAACACCGACGATCCTGGGAGGTGTTTAGAGTATGCCTTAATCTCCCGATGAAAAGCGCTGGACAGACGTGGGGAAGAGCGCCATGGCAGAGCTTCTCTCGGGCTCAGAGATATTTTTCAGGAGGGTCCTGCCAAGTTTCCACAGTAGGGAGCGATGTTGCTGCCGTGTGCAATCTAATTGAGTAATTTGCAGATAATTTGACAGCATTGGGATGTGTGGCCAACACCGGTTACATTTTATGATTTTGTAGCTATGGGAGGAAACCGGAGAACCCAGAGAGAAACCCATGCAGAACAGAGGGAGAGAGAATGTACAAACTCCGGACAGAAAGGCACCCGAGGTAGGAATTGAACGCAGGCCCTTCTTGCTGTGAGGCACAAAATTTCCACTGAGCCGTGCTGCTTCACAAAGCTTGGAAATCGCTTTGTGTAATCTGACCGACGATTCTCACTGAAACAGTATTTTTCAGAATTTGTGGTCCCCACATAATCGGTAACCACGCCACGAGAGCCCCTTCCTATCGCCACGGCCACCCCTGTGCGGTGCACCCGAGATTACCCAGCAGCCCCTCCGATGTCAGGTCACGGCGCCGTCTCTGGAGGACCCCTCCACGTTACTTACCGTTACGCAAGTATGCAGTCAGTGTGATACTGCCCCCCACTGCTTTCGTGAGTTTGCCTGCATCCGTGTGTAACCAAACACTGGTGCAAGTCCTCGTGACTTACTTGAGCAGATTGAGCAGGGTCGAGAGGTCCCTTTGGATGAGAGGCGCAAAGTAAACCATCTTGTGGAAGAGGTGCATGTTGTGGAGCTCCCACGTCACCTCAAACTTCTTCAAATGCTCCTTCTCCTGTAAACACAACCGTCATACCACATTACGAATGAGACCAATACAAAGATTAACCATCAATGGCATCATTTTCAAAATAGATATAGGTGGCTGTGCAGCTCACGAGACATCAGAAACATTTTGAAAGTGATTATTTTTGGGTAAACACAAACTTACAAACACGTGAAAATTGCATTTCTACATGCTCAGAAATTAGCTTTGCCATGCGTTACATCAGACCGAGTGAATGGAGCAGCGGAGTTATTCTGCAACTCAGCTGCACGTCCTAGAATTACTGTAAAGTCAAAATAACGTCACGTCAAAGTGCCTCCATTTTCAAAACAAGCATGGGCAGCTTCTCATCTCCACTCGCGACCGTGAGCCAGTGGCAGACATTCAACATTGCCAAGCAGGAGCCATTCCATCCACAGGAGGATCACTATTTACGGAATGGGGCAGTAATTGTATTGACCCCATGGCACAGATGGGTTGAGTTGACTGTGATATGAGCTGGTAACCTTTCAATTGTGAGTTAGGCACTGCTGCAATCATACCCACAACCAGATATTTTAATCATACACTTTGTTTTATTAAGAATAATAATTCAGCACATTTGGCATTCCTGGTATGCTTAAAGCGCAAGGTTATCACTAGCAAGCAAATGGCCAATTCATTTCCATGACGGGATCTTTATCGATTAGCTGTGAAGCAGACGGTGCGGATTTTTTTATAGTTAATACAATGGCAATATTTACCAAATATAATTAAAAAGTACATTTGCGAACAATGTAGGCAAGTGAATGAGACCATGGAATTTGTGAAAAGCAGCACGGCACTGACAAGACATGAGACGCGAGGCAGGATTAAAGATAACGTTTCCAATTTGTGACGCGCGCAGTTTATGTCGATTCAGTTACCAGTGACAGGTGAGAAGGCAGCCTGAAGCCCAAGCTCTGTGGCCCTAAACCGGGATGTTTGGTAAACCCTATTTACGAGTCATTATACGTGTGGGAAGAAACAGGAGTGCCTCGAGAAAACTCACGTGTGCGAGGGGAGCAACACCATCCCCGTACAGATGGAAACAAATGGAAGTTAATCCACCTGGCGTACTGCCATCTCCTGGCGAGCCAGACCTCGACGCCCATGGGAAGGGAGTCTCACAACATTCGTGCGATCCACCAACCCTCGCGGCTGCCTCCACAGCGCTGGATTACGGGCGTGAGCTCGCCACCACCGTGTAGCCGTGTGGTGTGGCCGCGAACGCGAGCGCTGACCAGCGTGACGAGGAAGGTGGCGATGGTGCGCGCAGCCTGGCACAGCGCGCCGTACTCGTCCAGCAGCAACGACAGCAGGTGGCACGCGTGCGCCGCGCTCAGTGGCGCCGACGTCAGCTGCTTCACCAGACGTAGCTTCACCTCCAGTACGTACTCGCGCGCCTGCGACTCCAGCCTCTGGTAGAGCTGGTAGGGGTCAACCTTGCACAGCCTGAGCAACAACAACCGCCATTCACCAATAAGTGGCGGTGACGTCACCACGGCGCTCGTGCCATGCTAAATGCACTCTGACGCCGCGTGAAGTCTCGAAAGCCCGCTGGCAGGAGGTCACAGAACAGACTCAGGTGCGATGGGTTGAATGACCGAGTTGACTGGCAGATCCACCAATTGTGCTCCCCACCATGCAGACTCTGCGTTTTAGCCGCCCGGAGCTACGCTCGTTGCTGTGAACGTTGCTCACAGCCTGAGCTCACCCACACACACGAGCACGTGTTGCAGGATATTTAGTACAATGAGGGGGGGTGGAGAGGGGAGCAGTGGTGCAGCAGTTAGCGCATGGCCCTATGAACCCAGTGACCCGAGTGTTACCACCACGTCGAACTGTTGCCACCCCGCCACCCTGCCGCCCACAGTGCGTGGCAGTCCTCACCTGTCTACCATTTCCTTCACGCTCTCCACGTCGGGCGCGGTGCCCTGCTCCTCGGCCAGCGGCGTCCCCGCCCGACAGTAGATGCACCGCACCAGGTGCCGCACTTCTGTCCAGTACTTCTGCAGCAGCTGTGCGTCCCGCCCACTCTCGCCCACTATCTCCCTGCCACACGCACGACCATGGCGCACATACAATAGCAACAACCGTCATTCACCGCTAAGTGGCGATGACACGCACTCTCCTTGTGCCAAGATCGGTGAGCTTTGAGGCCATGTGATGTGTTGAAGGCTCACTCGCAGGAGGCCATGGGACAGACCCAGATGTTATAGGTTAACTGAGAGAACTGGCAGATGCACCACCTGTTCTCCCCACTGTGCCACCTTGTGTCTCAGCTGCCCCGGCACTCCACTCATTGTTGTGATTATCGCTTCTCTGTCCTCTGCATGCATGTTTACTCCAAAATGTTCAAACCAGTGAGATCGACTAAAAAATCTTGCGGAAACTTTGGGAATAATCAATAAAATAAAAAAAATACCAAACAAAATTTTACATGTACGCAAACCTTAAATACAAACCCCTTGCCCAAAGAATGTGCTCCTCACAGCTGTCAACAACTACTGGACATCTGTGAAAGAGAGCTTCAGATTCCTCCAGTCTAAAGAAAGATTCTGATTCTGAACATACTGTCACTGCAATTCTGTTCTGAGGTGCACTGGCGGGCCCGTACACTCTGACACTTCAGAGAGCCGGTCACTCTCCGAGTGTTGATGCCACGATGCAGTCAAGCAGAGTTGTCCACTGGTAAATGTTTAGAAGAATAGATCTTGTGTCGCCTACGTGGCTCCAGTTCTCACTCTCAAATGCTTCCGAGTAATTCGTGCACAGAAACACTAAACTATTGTCATGGAGGCAAGTCTACTTTTGAAGAAAAGAGGGGACAGATTACAAAATGAGCGTGCGTAGCAGCAAGCGGCTAATGTACACCACTCAGTGAAGACCCAAATTGTATTTTAAATGAATAATAATTATAACCTTGGATAGTAGTAATTAGTTTACTGTTTTTCGCTCATAGAAAGATTGAGTAAAGACAAAACTTTTTGAGCTGACCCTTACGTGAGACCTGAACCTATCGGAAGCTGTGCTGCAGTAAATAGGGCTGTAATTTGCAAAAGGTAAACGTCAAAAAACGCAAGAATCCATTGCATGGCCATAAGACACTCACAACTGTGAAAAAACTTAAGAGTCTCAAGGGTAATCCTTGAGACTTGACACGAACGCCTCGGTTGTCGCTGAAGGGCGGCTGCCTCTAAATGCCCTTCCCGAGTCTCCTCCAGAAGGCCGATCTTGAGGTAAGCCCACTGACTTTTATAATCGAACGCTAACAATGTGTGTCGTAAAGCCTCCTTCACCCGAGACAGCCAATTATACGACCTAAGCCAAAAAAACAAGATGCTTTCTAGATTTGAAGCTTTCGTGACTGCAATGATCCATACTCTTTGGTTCTATTCGGTAAAGTCACGTAGGTAAAAAATAAACAAAAATCACGACATAGGAATAGGTTTTACCCTTTTAACTGGCACAAAAACTGACACCTTTATTCAAGGCATCATGTTTGCAATAACCACAACACAAGCAGTCAAAATGCAAAAAAAAAGAAAACTCTGATAATAATATGCACTGTCCTTGAATTTGATTGGTCCACACCCGAGACAGCTTTTCTTAGAGCCTAGTCTCCATTGGTGTTGGACCAGAAGACGCCAAAAGGCGGTCACAACACAAGTGGCCTTCATCAGGTGAAGGGACCAACCTGTCCAGAGGACAGCGTTGGAGTGAAAAAAGTCAAGCGCAGGTCGCCTCCTTTAAGCTGTGAGTGGGTAAACAGAAAAAACGCCTTGACAAAGGAATTAGCATAAAAATGTAAAGCTGTGCAAGCTAGCAAATATCATCAAAAATACATTAGCACCAGCGTGAGAGTTTGGGATGCCACTAATTGAATGAACATACTGTACCATTAAAAATGCCTTTAACGTTTGGTTCGATTTAGAACATCTTTCCAATGGTTTCTTAATTTGAAGCCATCTTCTCGGTTGAAATTGTGTCTGTGTTTGTAAATCTGAATTGCCTCGTGAACATATCTCTGCTAGAAACCCGAGGGTTTACATAGAACCTTGGTATCAGAGAAAATTATATCGTGATCACCCACAGCATTGTAACAGTGATCAGCCACGGCAGTATAATTCGTTCTGCTGTGTTTCAAATCTGATTTGTGCTCGCGAATTCGGTCAGAGACATGTCGTTTCGTCTCCCCGATATGTCTCTGACCGAATTCGCGAGCACAAATCAGATTTGAAACACGGCAGAACGAATTCTTCTGCCGTGGCTGATCACTGTTACAACGCTGTGGGTGATCACGATATAGTCTTCTCTGATACCAAGGTTCTATGTAAACCCACGGGTTTCTATCAGAGATTTGTTCACGAGGCAATTCAGATTTACAAACAGACACAATTTCAACCGAGAAGATGGCTTCAAATTAAGAAACCATTGGAAAGATGTTCTAAATCGAACCAAACGTTAAAGGCATTTTTAATGGTACAGTATGTTCATTCAATTAGTGGCATCCCAAACTCTCACGGTGGTGCTAATGTATTTTTTATGCTATTTGTGAGCGTGCACAGCTTTATATTTTATGCTAATTCCTTTGTCAAGGCGTTTTTTTCTGTTTACCCACTCACAGCTTAAAGGAGGCGACCTGCGCTTGACTTTTTTCACTCCAACGCTGTCCTCTGGACAGGTTGGTCCCTTCACCTGATGAAGGCCGCTTGTGTTGTGGCCGAAACGTCGTGATTTTTGTTTATTTTTTACCTACGTGACTTTACCGAATAGAACAAAAAAAACAAGATGTATTATATTGGTTGTGAAAGCCTACGTATAAAGTTAGAATGGTTTCCTTAACTTGCGTGTGTTCTCTAATCCCTCCGTTCCTCTGACTCTGAATGTAATTCCAACCTTGAACCCCTCCACGCTTCTTTGAACATTACTCAGTTTTGGCACACTTCCCATTCTTTGCACATTTTCCATTTTCTTCGTTCATATTAAAGTGTCCAATCCCCATGCCATAGCAGGCAATATGCATTCATGAACATTAAATATACCCAAGGACAAATGCATGTTGGAAAATATTTCAGAACCCATGCATATTTATGATTTTTGTTCCTTGTTTTAAACAATGAAGCGCTGCTATTAATAGAAGTGTGAGGGCAGCTGAAGCACTGTGAAAAACAGGTTTATAGTTGTCAAGAATCTGCGGCGCATCAGCGTGACACCATTCGGTCACCACGACGTCACCCCCCGGGTAGCAAATACCGCCGCCACCTCCGTGTTTGCCCGCCTAGCGTGGTGGAGTGGCACGGGCACCTTCTGTTTGGGATTCTCAATTGCACTCGAGACTATCGCACGTGCACATACAAAAAACTAAGTTACGATGTCAGTTAATTTAAAATTATCTTGTGCATCAAGGTAATCTATTCATATATTTATTAATCTATAAAGTATGTGTTTGTTTGATATTAACTGTTGATTAATTGCTAGTTCGAGTGTGTGCTTATTCTATGTAGTGCATATGAATGCTGATTAGTGCTTGCAAGTACTTGTAATATGTAGTACTTACTACCACTTCCTAGGGATTGTGTACACGATCATGCATATACTATCACGCTTACTTGTGTTTGTTCATCAGTGCTTACAAAATGTTTTCACGATATTACAACCAATGCTGACACTAATGTGCATTCTTACTAGAGTGCTCACTGCAATGCTAAACTAATTCTTAATCACCCTTACTATCATCATCAGTCATGTTCTCTCCACGATTGGACAAATGCTTATCCATGTCATTGCCATCTCCCATGGTGCAGTGACGCCACAATCCGGTTTGCTCCCGCACATCAGCCTATCGCATCGCTCATCTCCGCAGCGTTCATCCTCTCGGGCGCGTTCTCCTACTTTGGCTGCCATTCCGTCACAAGCCTTGTCCATTGGGTTGGCTACGCACGGTGCGAAAGAAGTTCAACATACATATATACAAACATCATACCTACGCTGGCTGACACTTGCACAGATTCCAGGACACCCCATACATTGTATTCTATAAGATTAGGATATATAAAACTGGTGATTCAGAAAATTATAGTTTTCACTCCAAATGGACAATCAGCCGTCACTTGTCCACGATGCACACTGCTCCGTCACGTTACCTGCGCTCCCTGCACGATTCACAGTTGCAGATGAGGCCTGGGACAGTGGTGAGTTCGGCTGGGGGCTGGACCGGGAGCACGCTTTCTGTTTTACCACCATTCGCCACCGCATCCAGGGCAACGGGTGGTTTCTGAACAGCGTCCACCGTCTGAAAAACAGCGGTTGGTTATTAGCATAAAATATCAACGCTTATTATTAATGTTGTTACAATTACTCTTTGTTTCACCCATGAAAGAGTGTCAATTCTACATCAGGAGGCTCCTGCAATATTTTTTCAGTCGAGGGCGATGTTGCTACATTTAATCCAAATTGATTGATTTGCAGGTTATTGATTTTTAGCATTGTGATGTTTGGCCAATACCAGTTACATTGTAAGATATTTTTTGTATAACTAGAGGGCAACAGGAGGACCCAGAGAAAAGCCATGCAACGCAGGGGGAGAACATTCAGAGACTCCATGGAAAAAGTGCCCGAGTAAGGAATCTAATCCAATCACTTCTCGCTGTGAGGCACAGGTGATATCACCGCACTGCTACCCAGTAACTTGAGGCGATGAAGACGTGTCCTCCATGAATGAATGTTAAGGCTGGGAGACCTTCATAATCGCTAGGCCACAATGCACAACTTTGACAGTACAGTATTCTTGGGTTGTTGCAATTGGCAGAACTTTCTCGGCATGTAACAAATACCATCCTCTCCCTCTGCCCACCGAGGACTCAAAAATGTGGGGTCCCACTCACAACCGTATCTTGTTTTTCTTTACCACCTCATTTGTATAGTTTCTCATTCGCGGTCTCATTTTAAAAAACTTCAGATGGCTTCATTATCACAAATCTATTGGACGATCCTGAGACTGTCCAATAATTAATATAAATTTGAGTGGATAGATTAGCATAATTGTCATTTATAGTTTTCATAAATCACAAATGTCACACGTATGATATAATGCAAGTGTAGTGCACCTAAAGATCAATTTTAATTGATGAACAAATACATGCATTGGTACCAGCCTCATATGTCTTTGGGCAACTGCCATCTAGTGGCAGCTTCTGAAGTCGCCACTATAATGCCATTCGTATAAACGGAGAGTCCGAAATCGCAATTGGAAGGAATGGGGGGACTCGATGGGCAATTCCGAGACTGTCAAAGAATTCCCATTAATTCCCATGGCGATTTCTTCATTACCATTGAAGTGAATGGGATACTTTGGCAGGATTGCCCAAAAGAAAACTTAATTCGATAACAAAATAAATGTGTTTTTTTGCAAGCCTAGGTATTGTCTAAAACATTATCATTCCTTCCAGACCCCTATTACAATCGTATTGAACCGAGTGGTGGTTATATATTCTTGGCTCTTTCGGTAAAATCACGTAGAAGGGAAACAATAATAATAAAAATATGTTTTTATTATTTTATTGTTTCCCTTCTACGTGACTTTACCGAAAAAAACAAGAATATGAATCCCTGCAGTCACGAAAGCTTTAAATCAAAATTCGAGTGGTGGTTATCAATGAGAACTGCCCGTGGACGAATCCTGAATCTAACAGGCATAACCAATGGTGGAATTGTGCAATTCGAACGATTCCAGGAGGAACTGCCCAGCACGGAACGAATGCGTTTCACATAGCTACGTCCAACTAGGACACTTCCAAGTCCAGAAAAAAGAAAAGATATGCTTGAATAGGTGGCGGTTGGAAAACTGGTAGATGGAAAACATATCAGCAGCAAATGCAGAGATGTATGCAAAACGCAAAATGAAATGTGAGAGATGAGATTTGCCGGGGAAGAATCATCCTGCAAGCACAAATCATTCTTCATCATTCTCCACACGGACCAGAGCGCTGCGCAATCCAACACTCAATGTTTTGTGCAGATCCCATAACATAGTTACACGGTTATAGTTTCGTTTTAAATAATTGGTTTTAAAAAGCTCCAGAAACCACGAGGATGTTAATGAGAAACCAAAATTAAGTGCAGCACTAATGCTGGTTGGGCAGATTAATGGTCGTGCTCCTACTTATCACACAGAAAAAGATCGGTCAACGTGGATATGTTTCAATGGGCTTCAACGTGCGGGAGTGGGGCTACTCTAGCAACACTGCGGTGAGACACGGACCGTGGAGCATAGACTGTTCTGTCGGCACCTGCAGGAGCCATGTACCGTGGAGGACCTCGCCAGGGCTACAGACTGGACCACATCACCAGCACCACGTGCCGGATACTGGACAAACGTACGACTGTGCTGGCAGCACGCGAGGAGGCAGCGGCACTCTCGTCACACTTCTACCTCTAGAGCCACCCAGAGGTTCCACAAACATGTGGAGATCATCAACTGTCGGGAGACGTCCACACTCCGTACCACGTCACAATGCCTCCGAGTCATTAGAAGAACCCCAGACCTATGAGAAACACTGATTAGCTGTGGCCTGCCTCAAGATTGCAGTGATATGATTGTATGACGTCTGAGAAGCTACATGTATATGTTGACTCATTGGTGTTTGGGCTATAGTTAATGGATTCCCACTAGCCTGCAGTTTACTGCACCTGAACTAAGGAAAATGTGCACCTACTCCTACCAACCCCACCACTGACAGTTGCAGCTGATACAGCTGGTAGAGGTACACAGACAGCTGGTAGAGGTACAGAGACAGCTGACAGGGCTTGTAGAGGTACACAGACAGCTGACAGCGCTGGTAGAGGTACACAGACAGCTGACAGCGCTGGTAGAGGTACACAGACAGCTGGTAGAGGTAGACAGACAGCCGACAGGGCTGGTATGTAGTAGGCACACGACAAGCAAAAGAAGAACCACTGGTCGAAACCAATGGCCAGGTATTCAGAAAACAAGTAATCAGTCCATACACTGTGATTTAGCTACATTCTGCAGATCGTGTAGTTTTCTTATTGCAGCAACGATAGACATCCCTTGCATTTCTATGAGACAAAGTCATCTGTATTTCGGTGAACTCTATAGGTGATTGAATGAAAGTACAGTAAACATGGGTCACACTTTAATGTAGCTGGTTATTTTCGGCTCTCCGATTTTACATTAACAGGTTAAATTTCTCACACTAACACAGCCACCTTCGCACGCCGACCTAGAGGAGGCGGAGGCTCTGCGATCTCCCATTAACATGCTAACCTCTCACGTGAACAGAGCCACCTCAGTGTGCTCGCCGTGGAGGCCGCTCACTGATCTCACAGTAACATGCTAATTTTTACCTGGCAGCCCTTTAATTGGTGGAAAGCCCACCACCGTCACGGTCCGCTGCCCACCACTCACATTAACATTAGCTGCCCCGCCCATGCTGCTGATATTTGGGCTACGCCCATATCAAACCTTTATAAATAATATTGCCTATAGGAGCTATCCCCCTTTTCCTGATGACGACCGCTTGTGTTGCGATCGAAACGTTATCACTGCACCTGAATGAATTAAATGATGACGTCACTATGCTGCTGCTCTATTTGAGACCGGGAGCAAGAGGAGAGCCTCACCATTCTGGCAAATTGCCCATTGAAGCTGGATGTAATTACCAGCGAAACGTCGTAATCAAATTTTAAATGATGTTGATTCACTCTTCAACACACCGGTGGTCTAAAGTAGTGAACTATTTGTTCTTTGTAAACGTGACACATTTTTTACTGTTTGGCCGTGTTGGGTGGAGGGTTACGACACATTTATAAATAAAGCGATCTAACCCAAAAACCTTTATTATAAGTTATAGCTTTTTGTCATTTTCTTTGAGCCTATCTACGTGACATTACCGAAAGACCCAAAGAATATGTAAAGAATATTTGTTTTAATCAACAATTGCTTATAAATGATACCAGTGTGATTGACCAATGCAGAAAACTGCTATCATCAGCAATATGTGCGAGTTAAGAGAGCATCCTCTGCACAACCATCCTCTGCTCACGAGCACGTGAGCTGGCGGGACACCGCAGACTGCGCCGCCTTGCGTGCCTGTGGCCTGGTCAAAATCGCCATGATCAACGCCGACTCAAGCCACAGGCCCGGCGGTTGACGTAAAATGCTTTGAAAACATTTTAAGTGGGGGTCTTTCTCCATAAAACTGGCCTTCCACATCCGTTTTCTATTAATTAAAGCAGGCCGCTCGTGCGCGTTGGCGATGGTCGGCCCTGAAACTGACCTGCAGCAGAGGGCCCCCCCTGTCTTGGCGGCTCACCCTCTCCCGTCCCCCTCCTCCGCGTTGAAGTTCTCACGAATCGGTCAACGTAGACTCAAGCTGCTCACGACTGTGCAGCTATACGTAGTGTTAATCTGCGCTGTGTAATAACACTCTGAAGTCCAGTAGCACATTTAACTTAAACGCAACTCTGTTCTCAATCCACAATGAGGAATCAAAAAAGTCCACGTGATTTCCTACTCAAGAGGCGGTGTTCATCTCCCATTTACTGCTCCGAGTCAGCGGTAAAAATTCCGCATTCCTGAGGCCGAGGTCATCTAATCTATAGCACTTCCACCGTTGACTTCCAAAGAAAGTAGAACCTATGTTATTGACCTCAGAGAGTATGATGGACCGAGGCATACAACAGAATAATACACGAGCCTGACTATGGGAAGCCTGTATCACTTGGAAAAACTAGCCCACCTCAAGCCCACTGCACACCAGTCACTGCAACACAGGCACTTGATTTTAACAGCGACCGTAATTCACGCGTTCATCTTGGGCAAGCTGCTGGTCGATGGACCTGCACGGCCCTACATTGACCAATCAAAAGCTATTCTATACAGACTTAACTGCATGCAGTGCCCTTAAAACATGCGTTGGCAGCAGCCACTAGCAGCACAGTTTGCAGGTACAGGAAGCTTTCACCGCCGGACATCCCCACTTATAAATACTGTACTTCAATCAATGCTTACGGATTTCAAAGCACAACATTCGAATAAGAATTGGTAACTGAATCGCATATGAATAAATTATAATTGTAAAGAAAAAGAAGAGGCCAATTTCATAAGGTCAACCATAAAGATATACTGTATCATCTAAAAACTGATCGGTACTAAAGCATGCATTTGAAATATTCCTATGTATGGGAACCTTCAATAGAAATGTTCCGTTTCATTTGACGAACGCATTCGTTTTGAGGAAGTCCCATGGCACCCCTCGCACTGTCTTCACTGTGCAAGAGGAAACCCCCCCAGCATCTTGATTTACACAAGAATGTCAACGTACTTGCAGCACGCAGGCGCGCTTGGGTGCGGGGTCACGCCTGCTCCGGTTACCATCACTTCACCGTCGGTACCTACAGGCAGCCCAGGAAGAGCACGGCCGAGGCAAGAGAAAACTCGGGTAACACTTGCCTGAGACGTGGGCTGAAAATTTCCTCGGAGATGCTGCTCCTCAAAGTTCCTCCGACAGTCATGGCACACCCAGAGCGGAGACGGGAAGAGAGTGGTGCTCTCCGGCGTCGCGCTATTCTGCATGGGAGAGGGCGGGCTGCAAGACGCGTTGAGGGCTCCGACAAAACTTGGCTGCGGCGGGTTTGGCGCCCCGGGACTCGGCGCACCGTTCACGCTATTTCCTTCAGAGTTTGTCTGTGCGGAGCTCTGTCCATTGGTCCCAGCGGCACATGCCGCGAGGCCGAGCTGCATTGGGTTGGTACCTCCACCAGCGCCAGGCGCCAAACCGTTGGTCTCCCCGGCAGAGGCCTGCAGCATGCTCGGAGTTTCGCACCGGCACAGCAGACAGCGCCAACTCCCAGGGAATGAAGGTCGCAGCGGGCTAAAGGAAAAGGGAACCTGAGCATACAGGAGGAAAAAACGCTGTTAACATTTCATATACTTTAGTTTCAAATACCATTTAATTCTGTATAGCTCGTTTACGTGGTGTGTTTTTTTAAACAGTGTTCATAAACCACTTGCCACAATTAATCGCAGATATGGAGCTGCGTCAAAGTTAAATCATGCGAGGGTTTAATTCAAACCCCGACTGAAGATGCAATGCTGAATGTGGAAAAAACTATTCCTTGGACATGGCTCCAATTCTTCATTTTGCTTCCGGTTTATAGCAAAATCTAAGCATAAAGCAAAGTTGTTCAACTACAATGTTACTGTGTTTAAATTTAACATCACTGAATCCACCATGAGATAGCTTAAGAGCGAAGCCAAGCATAAGACATTTCGGCAGAATTACATAAAAATGCTTTACAAGCACAAATATGAAATGTTACACACACCAATGTATTCCCTATGAGTAACTTTTGCATTTACCATTCGACAAACATTACTCAAATCCACAAAAACGATATAATTGTTCCAAAAAAACTGTAATATCGGCATACATTTGATAAAACGGACAGCTATAGGAGAAAGAGCGAATCAAATTATAATTAGGCATTACGTCAGTAGCCAAGTAAGGTGATAATTATGTTTAGCTCAATGGTTCATCTCCCCATTGCACTGGCAACACAGTCGAGTACCTCTTCATTATAACATGCCACCACACTGCTAATTAACATTAATTGCATTGAGTGTTTTAAAAATGGTATTTATTAATGAGCTCTGAAAATGGATACAAAACGGTTCACACAGAAGATGAGTAAAGCGTGCAAGTGAAAGACGGCTATATTTAAACAATAATCTAGCTTTACAAAGTCACACAAATAACCATTCTGCTGTAATAATACGAGTGCAAAGAATAGCACTTTTGTAGTGACATCGCTGGATGTCACCATGCTGTAAGTGCAGTGCTGGCCCGAGAGGGCACGGTGTGCGATGTAGTGACACCGCTGGATGTCACCATGCTGTAAGTGCAGTGCCGGCCCGAGAGGGCATGGTGTGTGTGCCGACCTAAGGGGAAGATCGGGTAAGGCCATGACACTCTGGTTGGCCCGGGAGGACACGTGACAAGTTTGAATGGCAGGGGGGCCCCCAAGAGGGGGCTAGGAGAGTAACGTGATTCGAACCCAGTTTCCTCCTGACGGTCCTGGAAGGGGGGCATGGCCAAGGGCGGAGCCAGCCACGCCAGAGAGAATATAAGCCGAGTCCCGAGAGGGATCTTGGTTGTCTGTCCCGGGGAAGAAACCCTTCCTCTACGATCTCCGTTCTGCGAATCTTCCAGCACGTGGGCCCGGGCAGTATGTCGTTGGTCCCGGGTCTGGAGTTAATAGTTACCAGTGTAGTTTGCCAGGGTGGTCACCACCCTAGGTCGTTGGTCTTGTTAAAGGGTGAAGTCACCCCGTTGTGTTGGAACTAAATAAATACGCTGCCTCCAAGCCTAAGAGTGCGACTCAGTTGAACCCACTACACTTTTAACACTCCAGCCAATTAGCAAATCAGCATAGGACAGTGGTTTAATGAATAGTGTTAAATCGAAATTTAGTGTCAGGAAGTTGACGGGGGGAGCTGTGGTCTTGTATCTCAGTGGGCTGGTCTCGAGGTGTTAGGAGCATCAAGAGACCCCCCTCCCCACCCCCATTGATGAGGGGCGTCTGGAGGCCTGCAGCCAGGGTATGAGGGCCGGTAAGAGAGGGGGGTGCCAGACCTGACTATGGGGTGTAAATGGCAGACATCCGAATGCCTGACTGCTGCACACAGACCGCAACAACGAGGGATGCAAAGGTATTGGGGGCAAATAGAGGGGAATGGGAGACTAGAAGTGGACAACACGATGATGCATGGAAGAAATACAGACACACAGAGTGATGCAAAGACAGAGGCGATAAGAAAATTAATATGAATAGATGGAGATTCAGGGGAAAAAAGCTGCCTCATTTATAGTGCAGCTATGACCTTGCATTTCATTATGACATCAGACGAACTGATGAGGGCTCAGGCTCTCATTAAGAATCATATCGGATTCATGCTGTTCAACTTCATGCAGCTGCCCTTCATTTACAAGCAGACTTGTTTAAATGTTGTAAATTCACAGCCTTACATTGGACATTTCCTATCAGGCCTGAAGAAGACAATGCAAACACAGCCAATATTCATCCAGTCACATGTGATACTCAATAATTATACCACTGCAAAACTGCCCATAACTTTGATGGGTGCTGGTCAAATGTATGTTGTACTTCTTTTGCACCATACGTAACCAATCGTATGGACCAGTTTTTATTCTCCGAAACAACTGATTCATTAATTTTTAAGGAAGAAGGAACCTAAAAACCATTTGTTCATATTCACTTTCATTACCAAACCAACAGCAATCCACTTCTGTGTGGCAGCTTGAACCTGTTCCTAAAAAAAAATACTTCTGAAATTGTGGATCTTGGCCCAAGGACCGACCGCTGGCATTAGCTGCATAATCTTAACATGTAGATATTCTCACCACGCACAGTGCATCAGGACATAGCGAAGGTAATGCAAATCCCACCACGTGAATGGTCGAGTTGGGCCATTCTCGTGAATCCTAGCTTGGAAGGGATTCCATTATTAGAAATAAATACGATTTCCAGCAGGGTTGAGGGTTCAACGGAATCGCGGATTCGTGGGAGGCGGGCTCTGAGGATCCTAGATTGACAATCAGGCAAAAAGGGAGGGCCCGTGCGGCCTGCTTAAATCGTCAATGAAGCACTTTTCCATGGCAATTCTGGTCTCTACCGGCAGCTGAGTATCGGGGGACGACCAATGGCCTTGCTACTGGGAATATGGGAAGTATTAAGGGGAACATGGGGACTACCCCTGGGACAAACAAGACGACCCTTGAGACCTCCCAGAAAACGGATTTTTTTAATAAGACCACCATTACAAGCAGGGGCGGAGCCAGGGGGGGTGACAGGGGTGACATTCTGCGTATAAGTGTACGACACTCGTTCTGGCGGACTCCGTGCAACTGCATTGTCAGAGTGTGTCGCCAACCGATGGCGTCTAGTTCAACAGCCTGACTCTCTAATTATTCTTGAAATTAAAATTTGTTGAATGTCACCCCGGCCTAAAATTCTGGCTCCGCCCCTGATTACAACCACTTGGACTTACGGGATGCCAATCAGACTTGCAGAACCACTGGTACGACTGGGTTACTACCAAGACCACCAGTACAACCGTTCAGAACTCCCCGACAACTATTTGGACAACCAAATAATTGGCTGCTCACTCGCGTATGTAGTACTTTATTTACAGAGACGCTCGCTGATGCATGTAGGTTTGCACACAAACGCTCCACTCATGTTCACCGATGAAGATTGACACAGAATCACCGATAATCGTTCAGTCTTAGAGAAAAGAGAGGTGAGAGAACTCAATCAAGTGTGGATTAGTGTTGAGGCCGTAGGTAAGCATTATGGCTGTGGGTTGTTGTTGAGGCTGCCTGGATGCATTGCTGTGCATCTGTGTTACACACTTATTGCTGTGCACCTGTGCACAGCAATAAGTGTGTAACCCAGTCAGCGGAAGGGTGGCGTCACACATGTCCACTTGGGACGATCCTTGTCCACTCTTTTGGGTAAAATTCTGTTTCATCAAAAAAGCTCAGCCAATTATTATTCCTGAAATCCTTCAAGTTCCAATGCCGCAAAAGTAAAAAAATGTGATGAAAATGTACTTCGAACAGGAGTGATCATAGCCTAATAGAATCACATAGCAGCACTTTGGGAAAGTTGGTCAACAGGTAATTTATGTCCAGTTATCCCCCAAACTTAACATTTAACTCAGAAGTCTATGAGCACGGTGGGGCTAATCTCATGGGAACCAAGCAGTAACTTTACGCTGTCATTATATTCAGGTGTTTTCGTGGCTAAGGGGGATGGTACCTCCTCAGTGCTCCTGGGTTTTAACCAAGCCAATGAAATGTACAAAACTACCTTAAAGCCCAAGTACAACAAAAGGACCCTACCCTCACGCTGCTCCAGAGAAACAAGTTGAAAGCAGACGAGAACAATTAGTCAATCAAGTAAGGATTGCATTTAATGCTGATTAAACAGAACTAAATATTACTTTACAGGAATATTTTAGGGACTAAGCTTCACACTGTGATGAGCCCTGCCATCCTAAGGAGTGGCTCTCTGAGCCCAAGGCAATGATAAAAACAATAATTCAGAAGTTAAAACGACCACTTTGTTTTAAATAATCTGTTGAGGTCCATAGATTTTGTACAGCACTAATCCAATGGGCAATGGAACTGTTTTAACTGTTACTTGTCCTGCTAAAAAAGTTCCCTATGATTAAGCTACTTCAGCAAATTAAAAGTGCACCTTATTAAGCGGTCATATAGGTTATAGTAGACTTTACTGCGTGCGTATTCCCCCACCCAGGTAGATCTCAAGCAAGGGAGTAGATCCATACAAAATGTATGGCCTTTGAAGGCGACTGAAAATAGGAAAAAGAAAAATTGTTAAAATAGAAACACACAGGCAAAGTAGCTACGTTAAAAGTAAGTACTTGATAAACCAGTGCTAAAAACGTGATTAAAAGTTAACGCACTTGATCACTGGCAACAGAGTAGTAATATCCACCAACTGTTCTCACTGCAGGATACGACTTAAGCTGAATTTAACCTGTACAATCCTCCTGAATGTAACTTTCTTGAAATCCAATTTACAACATTGCTCCTCCGGCGTGCGTTTTGCAACACGTCTGCATATTTCTAAGCCATTTTACCCATCGCAAGCCAGTCTTTTGACTATGAATAAAACACAGGTGCAGCTAGGCCGGAGAACCAGCTCTCTCCACCTCCCCTCTTGCCCAGAAATCCAGCCCAAAGGCACTGACCTGAATTAGGCAGAGGGATCAAGGCACTCAAGATATACAGTAAACAAATAAAACATCACAAATCTATACAAAATAAATCTGAGCGTGCT